GGTCATTAAGGATAGCGCTGAAAACCAATCAACGACATCAAGCTTGTGTACCCTGGTAAATTCAGGTAATGTCACGTTCATCAAATTAGAGGCAGGTCATATGCTACGACACACTTGTACTGAAAACGAGCATCGAATATTTTAAAAAATTATATTACACAGGGATTTTTTTCAATAAATCCATGATCGTGAAGGCCATAAAAGTCTCTCTCTACCTATACCTCAATGACAATGAGCAGTTCCGGTTTATCGAATCGACTTCGGTATGTTAATACCATGGATTGGAAAATCATGAATACAACAAAGAACACTCCCTATTTTTAAGGTCCTGGAAAGTTAAGTCAATTACACCTCATAGACTACCAAAAACAATCCGTAAATTTTACAGATATAACTTTGGCAGGAGTGTAAATTCTGTATTCTCAGCAAAAAATCGAATTTATTATTCATTCAGAATTTCGAATAAGATGGTACGTTTTCCGCTATAAAATCAAGGACAAGCCCTGTTTCTAAAGTTGATTGTACGGCTATGTAAAATCACTTTAGTTTACGATACTTTCGGTTTGTATAAATTTAGAACTACAACATCAAATCTTACTGGTTGATATCGACGAAACACGATCTAATTCAAATAGAGAAACGAAACGCGGAAGACAATGCCAAATTTAATCAGAAATAGAATCTTACAATACAACATGTTGACTTCCAACTCTGATTCATACTTACTGTTAAACATTAACATAGATTAAGGAAAATTAAACATATGCCACTTCATGTATGCTTGATCATTACGAAACATGGCGTAAAAGATCGAACATGAAAACGGATTTAAAGATAATTGAATTTTCTTGATAAAAGGTATGAACACCAGTTTTCTATTTAGTAAGCAATAGTCTATATTTTGACCTTCAGACCCTTCAGAGTAACACTCAATCATCATTATTCCTTTCTTTATTTGAAACACTTTATGCCAGTAATAGAGAAATTGTAACAATCAAACACAGGCTGAATGTCATGTGTGACAGAGATTTGGCAGATGGAAGAGTTTTATTTCAGCATGAGGAATGTTACACTGTGACGTTGACATTAATATTGGAATTACATGATATCCTATAGCGATTCATTTTATTGATAAAATTGTTCAAATGGAATTTTATTACTGCAATCATCAGTTTTCTGATCAGAGGGACATATAACGCGATTTTACTACTCTAGAAAGTATCAGCTTTCTGTTCAGAGAGACATATAACGCGATTTTACTACGCTACAAAGTGTCAGCTTTCTATTCAGAGGGACATGTATATAACGCGATTTTACTACGCTACAAAGTATCAACTTTCTGTTCAGAGTGACATATAACGCGATTATACCATGCTACAAAGTATCAACTTTCTGTTCAGAGTGACATATAACGCGATTATACCATGCTACAAAGTATCAGCTTTCTGATCAGAGGGATATATAACGCGATTTTACTACGCTACAAAGTATCAGCTTTCTGTTCAGAGGGACATATAACGCGATTTAACTACGCTACAAAGTATCAGCTTTCTGTTCAGAGGGACATATAACGCGATTTTACTACGCTACAAAGTATCAGTTTTCTGGTCAGAGGGACATATAACGCGATTTAACTACACTACAAAGTATCAGCTTTCTATTCAGAGGGACATGTATATAACGCGATTTTACTACGCTACAAAGTATCAGTTTTCTGGTCAGAGGGACATATAACGCGATTTTACTACGCTACAAAGTATCAGTTTTCTGGTCAGAGGGACATATAACGCGATTTAACTACACTACAAAGTATCAGCTTTCTGTTCAGAGGGACATATAACGCGATTTTACTACGCTACAAAGTATCAGCTTTCTGTTCAGAGGGACATATAACGCGATTTTACTACGCTACAAAGTATCAGTTTTCTGTTCAGAGGGATATATAACGTGATTTTACTACGCTACAAAGTATCAGCTTTCTGTTCAGAGGGACATATAACGTGATTTTACTATGCTACAAAGTATCAGCTTTCTGTTCAGAGGAACATATAACGCGATTATACCATGCTACAAAGTATCAGCTTTCTGTTCAGAGAGACATATAACGCGATTTTGCTACGCTACAAAGTATCAGCTTTTAGTTCAGAGGGACATATAACGCGATTTAACTACGCAACAAAGTATCAGCTTTCTGGTCAGAGGGACATATAACGCGATTTAACTACGCTACAAAGTATCGGTTTTCTGTTCAGAGGGATATATAACGCGATTTAACTACACTACAAAGTATCAGCTTTCTATTCAGAGGGACATGTATATAACGCGATTTTACTATGCTACAAAGTATCAGCTTTCTGTTCAGAGGGACATATAACGCGATTTAACTACGCTACAAAGTATCAGTTTTCTGTTCAGAGGGATATATAACGCGATTTAACTACGCAACAAAGTATCAGCTTTCTGGTCAGAGGGACATATAACGCGATTTAACTACGCTACAAAGTATCAGTTTTCTGTTCAGAGGGATATATAACGCGATTTAACTACGCTACAAAGTATCAGTTTTCTGTTCAGAGGGATATATAACGCGATTTTACTACGCTACAAAGTATCAGTTTTCTGTTCAGAGGGACATATTATCGGATTTAAATACGCTTTCTTGTACATTGTATTTTGTCTCTGAATATGTATTGTATGTCAGTATATATAATATCCGATACCTGTTGGTGGAAATTATTGAAACTAATGAACGCTTATTTTCTTGTTCAATTAAATCAGCAACATATCAGTTTATACTCCGGATGTAATCAATGTTTTCTTGGATTTCGATTCAAAATATCGAATTTTATTTTATTTTTTTTTTTATAAAAACTTTATTGGATGGGAAATGGTAAATAAATGGCTTGAGATAACGTTGATCGTTTTGTTCTGTATACGTCATGACCATTTATACTGTCGTATTCGATTTGTAAAATCCGATGACAATATTTTTCCAAACAAAAGGATAATTCGTGGAGTCTAATGTTGGAAAACAGGGAAAACATACATCGATTTAGTGAACTTTGTATGATCTAGATATAAAAGTGACTCAACTACAACTTTTGAAAGTTCAAATTAAATTCTTTATTCCTTTGGCCTTCCGGCCAATCATATTCTTTAACAACATAAACTTGAGCCATCAGTGATACAAGATTGTGGAGAATGATACACCCTTAAGTATAAAACTATTTTATAAATTACACATTAAATATAATGAAATAGTAAGTAAATATGTCAACATTGACTCATAACATTTATACAAATATATACATGTAAATATTTTGTAAGCAACAAGGATGATATCAAGAATGAACCTCGAAACCATAGATGTAGAGAGTATAGCACTACACAAACTCTAAACAATCATACATATATGTATAACGGTGAATATATTTAGTTAATGAAATTATCATCCCGTCGCTTATTAGCCAGAAGTAGATATTTTCACAAACTGTTCAATTCTGATACATTATCAGAAGATCTGAGTTGTATGAATTTAGATACACTTGGCTTTCTTCTGTAATCGGGTTATAAAGGTTTTGTCGAATATCTAAATAATACGGATAGATAGTTATGAAAAAGTATTTATCTTCAATCTGGTTGAGATTACACTTGGTAAATTTTCTTTCATTTCGTACAGTATTTCTAAGTCGGCCACTCTCTATATTAAGTTGATGTGAAGACATTCTTATTCTGGTAAGTTCTCGTTTACTTACTGTTATTTACTTTCATTATATAATTATGTAAAGTGAAACATTTATATTGCAAAATACGATATTTTAGGATGACGTTATAGTTTCTTGACATTTCTGTTGAAAACTATCACATAATATATCTTTAATTATATTTTAAGAAGTGTTGTCGACAATATCTGACTTCCAGATATATAACCAAGATAAATAATGAATAATTCTTGTCGAACATCCATTAAACATTTATCGCCGTTCTTTGATATATTATCATAACATGATTTTAAAATACAATCGTCTGTATGCCTCAATTTTATCCAATATTTAAAAATTCTAAATTCCAAGGGTGTCGTCCCAAAACCGTATAGATAAAGCTGCTACGTTTACTTTTTTAACACCTAATATTTTTTACATCCTTTGTGGGGAAAAATACCAACTGTGCAAATTTAATTAAAAACTTTTCGGGAATTGATGAAAATACCTTGTTCACGAAAAGAATAATAAAATGTTTAATTTTTGAAAATGAATGTGCTATCTTTAAAACTTGTTTCACAACATGTCCATTTCGGTAATGATCTGGATCGTTAGCACTAATCCGTCACTCTGACCTAATTACGACAGGTTACCGTTCCTTGGTACCCTGGACTGGTCTGACCACGGGCAATTATCATCGGCATAAGTGATATTACCTGTGATTATATAGACCCTGTCGTTAATTGCTCTCACGTTTAATGGTAATGAACTATAATCTCTATGCGGAATAGGGATGGAAGTCTAGCTACCTACATGTATGAGACAGAAGACAAGTGACGGCAACCACGTATGACCGGCGGCGGTAATAACCTAACACACGGAAGTTTGAAACATTCCAGTCAGTCTGTTTTTAAAATGGCGTCTATTACATCAATGTTTTAAGGTATAAGAAGCCCTGGTCTCAGTGAGAAAGTATTCATTTGGAATCATCTCACTAACAGTAAGTACCGGTACAGTATTTACTAGTTCAGAGGGTCTGCCGTGGAATTATCGCATATTTTCTAATACTCTAAATTCAGATAGTACGAACCATGAGCTTTTTACCTACTAATGGAGATGAGGCTAAATAATTTGTTCAAATTGATACATAGCATGTTTAAGCCAGAGATAATTGTATTTAAATACTTGCTAAAACCAGGACGACTCCTTTAAAAAAGCCTTAGAATTGATATTGATGTGCTGACTTTGAATAACAGCGGATGGGCCTTATATCTAAATTCAATTATTTTTCAGGACAAGATGAAGAACGTCTCCACCACATTGATTGCCGTCATTTTCTGCCTCGGCCTGACTGCATGTCTTGCCGATGAATTTGATGACTTCGGTCATCAATCAGCATATTACCCACAATACAGCAGCGGATATGTCAGTGGTGTTTCTTCCGGACTCGGAATGACACATGGATACAGTGGATACGGAAAGGGAGGTCACGGATATGGCAAAAAATACGCCGAAGAAACCATAATTCGTACCCCTGTGATGCCTATGCCTATGCCTATGGCCTTCCCACCTCCACAACAGACTGGTGGCATCGGCAACGGTCTGTTTGGAACCGGAACCGGAAGCGAAGAGATTGCACTAATCTGTAAGTATATTCTGAAGAAAGCCTAAAATAACATATAGAAAATGTAATAAACAAGATATGTTTTTGATCTATTGAAAATAATATTTTGTCTGCATAAAGTGAATTAAAAAAATTATGTTTGAAGTAAGCAAAATAATGATATAAATGTAGATTTTCGTATGTACATATAACAGTTCGTTTATTTGTCTTCTATAATGTATTGCTATAGTACACTGTACTAACTTGAATAAGTAACTTATATCCGGCTTTTATTAGTTACTCGAAACATGTTCATAATTCAACGATTTCTTCTTTTAAGTGTTTGCCTTATTCGTCCTGCCAATCCTCCTGAACGGTGGTAATGGTCTCTTAGGATAAAATCCAGATGATGACGCTATCATCTTTGTCTGTCAAAGCAACAACACTTGTAAATGTATGTATAATTTGTTCATGATATATCCGTATTGTCTTTACATATCTACTGTCAAGCTCATATTACTCGTTATTTTGTTCATTTTAAGTGAAAATAATAAATTCAAATGGTTACGTTAAGAATAAACAGAAATGGTACTGAAACAATATATAGTAAGTAATATCGACATTTACTGCATCCTAACAACAAATGCCTATACGAGGTATTTTGAAAACATATTTTGATTGTTTCTTTTTTTTTAGTTTCGTACATGTTAGCTCGTTTTTTATGTTTTGAACCTTGAACTGAAGTTAATTGATAAAACCACACACAGAGTAATTGTATCTCATTTGTTCTCCTTTCAGATCGCCCCAGATATCGCGCAATACCACCTATATACCATGACGACTGTGGAAATCCTCTTATATTGTTTTTGTTAATAAAAAACCATAACTCTAAAGAAGTCGTTGCTGAATTTTTATGTATCTAGAAGACGAAAGGGATATCTTTGTTAAATATATATAGCTATTTATTCCTGCTTTTTCAATGTATTGTCAGATTCAGATCCAGATTTATATCGCTCTGTCACGCGTATAGCGTGAAACATGAGGTCATTTTACAAAGTCAGAACAGAAACATGGCTGACAAATTAAGTTTTGGCTCATTACATCGTCACACATAGTAATGCATGTATTCCTAAATTACAAAAATTACCTTCCTCTAGAAATCTACTACATGTAAGATATACATACTGTGAAAACCGGAAGCAGTGCATGAAATCAATAAAGTTGTTGTACATATAACTTGTAATACAGGTAAACAATTTGGACAGATCACTTAATAGTAAGTTCAACTCTCTAAGAAACTATAAAACATCTAAAATCAAACGCTTGTTGAAAACGGAAAACATTCATTTCATTTCTATACAGCACCTTTGCCAAACATAGCTAATCCAGGATCTTTACCGACTGTCGGATAAAGACTTGTGGGTTATACACTAACTTTGTGATAATCCTTTATCATACACTTTTTTTATTATTTGTAAACGGCAGAATATGCATTAAGACGAAACATTGTGAGAATTAAGGTCAATAAATCTCCAGTGTTCAACTAAACAAATTGATAATTGGTCGTTCCGAATGGGTTTATATCATTTAGAAAACCGTTTAAAAACAAACAATTGATACATAGTAGAGACTGTTAAAATATCCATGTTTAATGTGTTAACAATGACGCGGGCTGTTGATTAGAATACAGATTGACGTGTGAATTATTTGCTTTGTAATACTTGTACTTTTAAATCTTGGTCAGTCCAAATAAGTAATGTCTCGTTCTCAAATGAGAACACAGTATACAACAACGGAAGTAACAGGCAAACTGTCGAGAATCAAACACGTCCAGTTTCACAGAAATTTAGAATATTTCTTAACGTGTCACTATGACGACCGTAAAACTTCCCCATAATTTTCATCGACAGCATCTTTTGAAACTCTGTGTTACCAGTTTGTCCGTTAGATGCCGACTTCTTGCATTAAAATCGACATGTTAACACCATAGGTTGGGGGTGTAGGGATGTTGCTATGCAGAAAATGAATATTCACTACAGGAAAATTGTAAATATCACGCTCATCAAATAGCATGGTGGGAAGAAGTCCACTTTGGTTTCGTTGTGTGAAGAGGTATAGATAAGCGGCTGATGTAGTAGAGTATATCGCGTCCTCGATTTCCATTTCTGGTGGGTATATACCATGGACGTGGTCAATAAATCTCTTCTTTTTTTAAAGTTGTCATCAATATACATGTATCAGTACATGAAAGTAAAAGACCTGTTTTGATAAGCTCTTTAATATATCCAGCCTTGAATGAAAACAAATCAGGTTGACCAACAGAGGGTCACAGCTAGTTCCCCAAACGTATGCCAATGTTGGAAGATCTTTGCACCAAAATCAACGAAGATGTTGTCAAACAGAAACTCGAATAATTTCATGGTTTCGTCTTCCGTAAATAACTTCTTTGATTTGGATGTAATTTTCACGAAATACGCTTCACTATAACTCACAACCATATATTTGTACAGGCGTTCACCTTTCTTGGCAAAGAAAACTATCATAACAAGAGAACGAATGCTTCAGAAAGTTCAGACTAGGATATGTCGGTGAACAGAGAAGAAAGTCAAACGTTCTTATAGAAGAAAAAAATTTTAAAGCGGAGTTGAAGATTACTAAAAACAAAAGCACATGATATGTTTCTATTTTTATTGAAACAGTTTCAAATCTACCGAATCACATATTTATCAAACAATCTGCTTTCACATACACACAGTCCGGCTAAATATCGAAAAGTATTCCATTTAACAGTTGGGCGTAAAACTCCGTGTGAAAGGATATTTTTCTCGTAAAGACGTGTTGACTTCAAATCATATGTAAAGATGAGGTCTTACTTTTTAGTTCGATTGATTTTTCAAAAGCATTTCTAATAAATATTTGATTCTTAAGATTTTGTGTCCAAATGATAAACACGTAAATAATAACTACAAAGAGTAAGGATGAAAAAAATCAATTGAATAATTGATATAACTTTGTGAAATATTCATTGTGTAATATTCCTGTTTCAGACTGATGATTGTTAGTGACTCGCACAGTACACGGTGTATGTACAAAAATCGTCAGTAAAACATCACAATTATGACTGGTAGAATGAAGTTTTCAAATATGAAAACGGAAGATAATGATATAGTATTCAAACATGAATGTTAAGGATAATGTCCTGAAATACTGTAACATAGCACAGCAATGTTTTGTAATCAGTTAACAGTTTATACATTCATACAAATGCAATTGGTTTAAATTGCCAGAGCAAAAACAAATACAGATGGTGTCGTAAAATGACGGCACGTCTATAACAAAACAAAACGAGAAAAATCAACTTGATTCTACCAATAAAACGCATAAAGCCATTTCTCAAAAATGATAACATTTTTCAACATATATAACAAGACAATAAATAATATGATTAAATTGAAACCATGTTCCTTGAATACAGCTCATTTCACGTGTTGTTGTTGTTGTTGTTGTTGTTGTTGTTGTTGTTGTTGTTGTTGTTGTTGTTGTTGTTGTTGTTAGAAGGCGATCGAAAGTTGTATTTGTAGATAACGTGGTTCATTCCTTCAGACAGATATTGATAAACTAATGTGCAACACCAAGGGAAATAAGTAATCACAATTTCGAAGGGTTATATCATTTTATGAAACAATGACATAGATGTTATGATTGTCGGGCTTGCGTACCGTTGCCTCAGTCCTCTAAAGCACACGAAACCGAATCTAAGGGAAGAGGAAAAATCGACAACGCGATACAGACACAAAGAGTTTGATTATCAAGTCCTATATTCCATATAATACAAATATTCAATGCTTCTATTTACAATTCATTTGAGAAAGAATCTAATATCACAGTCATGTTTGTAATTTCACATCTACTTATCGTTCCTTCATAAAGCACTTGGAATCAGATACAGTTGCCACTAACAACATAAGATTCAAAAGTTATTGGATGCTCCAGCTCCTTTCTTCTGTTTGTCACTCATAATGACGTTTTTAACCCCAATCACTTTCATCAACTCCTTACTCATGAAGTAAGGTTTCTCAGAAGATCCGTCATTCATTTCAATATCTTCCACTGTAACGAATTCAAATTCAATAAAAGGTCATATCAAATTGTCGACATTTTTTACATAAATTTTCAACTCAGTATCTAAATTTTGAGTCGGCAAGTTCTTTATTACTATTTTATTTCATCATTTAAAATAGTCAAGGATCAGAAAGATATCATTCAGTAACATTTGAAACATTTTACTATAAAGTTAGACACAGGAGGACTAGGTATGCATTTTTACTACCAAGTCAAGAATAAATTTCGGTAAATTGATTAAGAATATATAATACGTACAGAAGCACATGAACAGCGTTGACAGTGCCATTGAGAAGACATCGAAGAAACACGAGGCGATGGCATAGGAGCACCCCAAAATAATCTGTTAAATAAAATAATACTCATTTATGTGTTGATACCTTCCTCATTTGTATTTATTTTAACAGTATTTTAAGCGTTAGAAGTTGTTTCCGTTTAACATTTAAGATATATATCACTTTATACATATAAAACATATGAAGATGACAGTATCTTATCAACAGGAACAGCGATATAATTTCAATTGAAGTTAACATTTCAATTTACCACTATATGGTAAACATATATTATCAATGTTAGACTATTTAGACTTGTCAGTATCAACAAAGGTTTAGTTATCAACAAGAGGTATGTGGGACTGAACAGTCATCCGACTATAAAGACAAACATATGAAGAGTCCAAATGGGCCTAAATTGCTCCATTATTCTACAGCTTACATTTTATACAATTTTGAAATGAATCCTGAACATGATACTACACACCATGACTCCTTACCTATTGCTTGTTAGAAAAGAAATTTTACAATCTCAACTCATTTTACACAAGATACCCTGAAAGTGGGTCAAAGTCTGTCATTTGAATACATCTGGAAGCCCTTCATCAAATTATGATACAGAAACAGTATCAACTGCTTCGAACAATTTATTATTTAGAAGTCGTTTGAAGATTTCAACATATGACCTTTAAACAAAGGGACAATTTCATTCTTTTAACCAACTCGGTAGTGATTAAGGTCAAATATCAGCAACGCAGGTCTTTTCGTTATTGAAAAGTTGCTTAAAGATTTTGACAAATTTGACACCAGTGACCTTGAAAGTGAGTCAATGTCAACAATATTAACAAACATGGTAGCCTTTGATACCAGTATGTTACAGATTAAATACCCACACATTTGGCTTTTTTGGTTTTTGAAAGGAAGTCGTTTTAAGATTTCAACACAATTGACTCCTGTGACCTTGAAAGTAGGGAAAGGAAATTCATTTTAAGAAACTTTGTAGCCCATTATCCCATTATGCTACAGACCAAATATTGGAAATCTGGGGCGTTTGATTATTGAGAAGAAATCATTTGAATGTAAATCACGGTGGACCGCGCAGGGTGCACGACGACGGACGAAACACAATGGCTTAAGGTCATCCTGACCCTTCGGGTCAGATGACCTAGAAGATTAAAAATATATCAAAGAATAAAATACATATTTAATATGACAAATATTGACAAAATCATACCAAAAATGGAAGAATGTAAACATCTGTCACGGAGTCATATCCGGTAATTAGGTATTCTGCAAGGTACTCAAAGGCATAAAACGCCAAAGCCTCTGCAACAATCACATAGAATTTCATCGTAAAACACTTTGTAATTAATATTATTCAGAACCGATATGTAATAATTAATTGGTATGTCATATTTCATTACTAACTGATTAACTCAGTGTATATATTACGCCGTTTGTCACGGTTGTTCGAATGTCACTAGAATAAAGTTCCACGGAATGTAAGATAATGTTTGAAAAAACTGAAGATATTTCTACACTAAGTATGATAATCAGGAAAACCGACATATAAATAATATTAATAATTACTTACCCGTAAGTCCGATGACGAGAAGTTTACCGACAAGAAGGACGAAGTCTGCCACTTTGTCTACTACAGCCACCCTGCCAAGATTTGATAAAGAAAATGATGATTGTTTTGAATACAAAAAAAAAACAACAACAACAAAAACTAGAGAAATCCAACCATATATTTAGTATGAAGTTGAATAAAGATTATCTCCAACACTTATTATTGAGAAATACAAGAATTTGATTTCGTATCTCTTAAGTGGACAAACAGTACTTCAGGAAATAGTATACACCTCTGGACATAAATCATACACAAAACCTTACCTGAGAATGTTTCGCATGATAGTGAAAAACGCATCTTTTGCAGAAAAACAGAAGTTCTTCCCGTGAATGGACATCTACGAAAGCAATGTAAAAATATATGAGAACTACATATGTGAAACCATACAATTTTGCCGATTGTATATGTAGATACGATACTGATAATCTTTACGTCGTAGGATGTAGTTCCTTAACTAAGATTACAAATATATCGACATATATGGAAAAGAGTTTTGATTTCTGAATTGATTTCTGAGGAATTATATTTTGTTTATATCAGACTTTTTACGCAAAAAAAAATTAATTTAACATAAAAATGATTATAAAAACACAGCAAGTTGATCTGCTGAAATCTATAATGTTAACAGTGTGTTGTTTTACCTGTATATATGCATTTTTTGTCAGGAATTTCAGGCACTTCTCCAAACACCAGAAACAACATTTCAAACACCTTAATGAAAAAACAGAATTACTTATATTATTCATTGTAATTTTCGTTGGTTGATTTTGTAAGAAAGAAATGAAAAATCACCAACTGACATCCAATTATAAAAAAAGTAAAACTTTCATAATTACAAATTCATTTTAACATAAATTTGATAACTGTGGGAGTGCTATATACAGTATTGGTGATAAAATGCACAGAAATGATAAGATAGGTATTCATGGTATCAAGTAGATATAAATTTATGGGAAATTAACATTCCTAATTGCAAATGCATCACATGAAGTAAGTTTTAAATTGGGAAAAACATTTAAAATTCGTAATGATAAATTAAATTTCATTAAAAGATTTTTTTCACATAAACGCTTTCGAGAAAAAAAGGATTTGTAACCATATCACATTACTTTCAAATAAAAAATTCCTGAGGGAGTATTTTGAAGAAGTGAGATAAGTATCATAAGTAATACTATTATATATATAGATGAGACAAATCTAAGTTAAAGTTAAAATTGGAATCGTGTATATCTTCTAAAACTGCTGTACAGAAGTCAGTGTTTAAACGAAACATCAGACTGTATTCGAATAAAATTCTACTTATTATTATTTATTATTTATAATCACACATTTGCTGTTAAACTTGAATTGTACTACTGTATCAGAAGTTGTATTATAACTGATCACGTAATTAAAGCCATTTTTCCTTGAGTATTGGATCACTCTTAAGAATTATGTTAAAATTTATACGAGTAAATTCCTTTTAACGAACCAATCGTGAAGAAAAAGACAACTTACTTGACAACGAATTTCGCTACCACATTTTCTCTGCCGCCCAGTTTGTGATCAAGATATTCCAGTATAACCCGGATCAACGCCACTACGGCAAGAATAAATGAGCCAAATGCCAGAGATCCTAGGTGGTACCTGTAACCAGTGAACGTATAAATTTTTTATACGAAACACTATGTGATTTTTTTGTTGTTATATTACTTGACTTGTCTAAATTATATTTGCTTAATCAGTGATCAATCACTAAAATAATATAGTAAAAAAGACAGAATAGTGAAGATTTCAAAAGTGTTATGGGAGGAAATAAAATTATTTTTAAATTAAAAGTGTTGTAAATGATCTTCTCTGTGATAAACAATAAGTATTGGGGATATTTTGTTTTGTTTCTTAAGACCTACTCTCCACTTTTTTTCTAGATTATGTACTGTTACCTGATTGCTCTCCACATGGCCGCAGCCAGAGGAAATACTGGAATATCTTTCGGCTTCTCAAATGCCCAATAATACGATGAGAATGCACCAGCTAACGTCAACTGCCCCAGTGCAATCACGAAGTTTATCATCCAAAAAAACATGAAGAGGGAAAATATTGCGGCATAAAAGACGAACCTGAAAGTGGAAAGAATGATTGATGCTATTCAACAACTTAAGTACAAAGTTTAAAATCTTGTTATTGTACAGTTTTATCACACTTTTACCTAGGTTGCTTATATTTCTTCATAATTCCTTAGTGATTCCATGGCTACTTTTTCTTTGCTACCATCCATAAGCTATCTAGATAATTAATTCGATATGACATTTTTTGGACAAAGCAATTAAGCTTGTTGTTTTTGGTAGCTTTTGTTGTGCAAATATATGTGATTTAGTTTCTATTTTCTTAATGTGAAATATTATATTTATTCACATGATCATTTGTCCTTTGCATTGTTGATATTATTTTCTCCTTTTTTAAAGTATGCTTAATGATTATCATTATTCTATACAAAGAATAATAATATCATAATGTCAAGCGTTTAAAAAAAGTTTATATAATACTGACACATTATTTTTTATCTTGTGTGCTGTAAATGTTTTTTGATGACATTCGATACGGATATATTTAATCCAAAATGGTGAAAAATCATTATCCATTCTGTTTTCAAGCCAGTAACTTAAAGGTCACTGGCGACAATATTATGCGTAGATATAATAGGGGTTGTACCTTGAATCGAGTTTTACCTTTCGATACAATTGCCGCCGAGAGCGTTCGGCTATAGGTGAGTTAGATTACCTGTCCGCTCTTCGGCTTTTTCCGAAAGCTTTCAGGAATCTTTGGAACCAATAATATGTGAGGTCAATTCCGCCACTCGGCGGTAGTAACACTTGTAAAGACAGTGGAAGTGTTATATAATGTGGTAGTTTTATAATCGGTCTTATTTCAGCAGTGATGGTACACTGTGTTGCATAGGGATATTATAAAACTAGTGAAAATCATATATGCAAAATTCTTAAATACAAAAGGATATGAAAGAAAATGCGAAACCAAACACAGCTGAGACAAGCAACAAGTAACGGATAAATCAGGTAGTCTTTTCAATATCTGCACAAAATGTTAATTAGAAGACACAAATCAAGTGCTGATATCCATTTCATGTCACTCATATACCTGGATGAACACCTCGACACACTTGGACACAAGTGTGGGACCAGGGTTACTACTTGGTCTTAAGACTTTCTAATATTTATATAGTTACCTGTATATTTTTATACAGTCGAAGCTAGCTTGGAAAAAGAATGGATATGGTACCATTATTATAAACCCTTTTGTTAACCATTATTTGTATCAGAATATAATTATTATTTTGCAGCCTTACCAGGTAAATTCACAATTCAATTAACTAATTAATATCCTGTCACGACCACTACCCCTTCGACCGGTAGATCTCTGGTGAATATTCGGATGGTCTAGGACAGTTGGGATTTAACAGAGATGAATAATGTGATTGTGTACCGAGAACATACAATTGGTATAAAACTTACACATACACCGAAAGTATGCCTCCTATCTGGATTTTAGACATAGACAATTTAAAATTAAATTTTGGGTCAGGCCGGTATTCTCGCCATAAATGACTGTTAACAGATAGGGTTTGTTCAATATGGGACTTAAAATATATAGAGGACGATCATCATTTTTAATTGTTTATCAGAGCTCATCTTTTTATAATAGATGAACAGTACTGACCAGGTTTTTTTTACCATTTATTAAATTACTGTACGCCTTTTATTTTTGCTGGCGTCGGCCAAACCACGTTACGATTACGATTCATCGCCTGAATCAGCAATACGTTGGGACTTGATCTGTTGTATTGTATTAATAAACTCTAACTCTCCGTTATCTTATAGTGCTGCACATGTTTATTTAATCAAATATATCCGATTTAATATACAGGGCCTTCATATATAACCAGTACTAATGAATTTGTATCTAGTGGCAGAATTGACGTCACAAACAATCGACCAATGATAATCCTTGGTTTTCAGAATAGAAATAACTCTAGATATTTCAACTTCCCCTGGTATTTACAGGTAATACTAGTGCTATCTGTACATCGCTTTATACACCAATCGCTATCTTAAGATATTATCTAATAAAAAAAGAAATAATGACCTTTTGTTTTCATTGCCGGTGATAAGTGATACTGATTAATGGTAATAAATCATGATGCATTGTTTTTGTTTATTGATGCAAAAATTGAAATAAGAATGTTTTATCTTACATCTCTTCATTATTCTCGAAGTAAGCGCACATGTCTGAAATGGAGGTGGTATTCTGAAAAGAAATACAGAAAATTGTATGATGACAAAAAACATCTAAAAGACTTGGATTCAGGTATACAAGATTAAGACAAGCATCAGATACCACAAAACACTTCACAAAACCAGAAATGACACTATAATGCTGCGGATTATTCTAATTTGTTAAAACCAAAAGAAAATGTATCTCTATGAAGAGTTTTACACAGGTTATCGTTGTCGAAAGTTTTGTTTTTACTTTTTTAGAGGAAAGGTTACAGAAAATAAAATGCATAAACGAATTTGTAGTCATTTTTAGGTAAAAACCCACAATATTTAGTCTCTCATACTATGTATAGATTTTGAAAAATTATATTTTCTTTTCCTACGAACTTGTGTGAATTTTGTATGGAATATATGATGCATACCTCACATGTCGATCCCATAAAGTTGTTTGCTTGACTCATAATCGCCTCGGTATTCCATTGACCATTTGTCCACGTGGTTGTCGTATTCTCGACACTCGTCATAGCCCGACCAGTTGAGGCTAGGAAGCTGAGGCAGAGGTTAAGGAATGGCCTCTTCATTTTTATCGGACTTTTTTTAAAAACTTTGATCAGGATTGAGCAGCCCCCAAATTGCAGTTACAATGATGGGAATAGTGGATTCGAAATGAGGGTAAGTGTTATGGAAAAGATACGTCAAGAAAGTGAAAATATAGGAACACAAGTGAAGCCTTAAATTGTTTGCCGTTAAATATCTCTAGAGCAATCTCAAAATGCTAAATAAGCTAGCTACAGTAACGCAATATGACACAACGCATTCTTTACTGGAAGAAGAATTTCAATGAGATGACCAAACGGAAGTATGGTACCGGTGTAGCAGGTATTGTGAATCACGCTGAAATTAACCAGATCAAAATACCATAATGGTGCTTCACTTTATCAAGCTGCACCGGGTTATCTCTCTCTTAAAAGAGCAGGAAAATTCCACAAGTTTACTGAATATTTCTCTGGATAGGAGGTATGATCTAAGGGGGGAAAACAAGAAAATACCAAAATGTCAACATTCAATCTCAAGTTCCATAAAACAAGGACAGAAAAACGCGACGAAAGAAATATTTCACAACTGAAAAAGTACTTCTGGAAAACGAAAATAAGACCCAGAAGAGTAAGCTTTGTCTGCTTCATCGACGCACGCGATATTTAAACCTCGGTCAATCCAGGTAAGTAATTTCATGTTTTTGAATGACTAAACGGTATGAAACAACGGAAACAACAGGTATACTAAAGAATATCAAACACGCCAAGCTTTTTATCGCAATAAGAAATAGAAAATTTCTCAGTGAGATTATTATGACGACCGCAAAATTTCCAAATGAATTTTATCAACTTGCATTTTTGAAACCATGTCTTACGAGTTTGTTCGTCAGTTGAGGACTTCTTGCAAGAAAATCGTGATAATGGGAATAGGACCTAGAATATCGAGTCAACTACGACGTGTAAAAATGATAGGTTGGGGATGAAGGGTGGTTGCTATCTAGAAATGGAAAATTCACATTAGGGAAACTGAATTTGAAAGATCTCAGAAATAAACTCAGATGTTGTCAACCAGAAACTCGATCATTTTTATGATTAAGTTATCCGTAGATGTTCCTTTGATTTGGACTTATATTTTACGAAATATGCTTCAGTATAGGTCACAACCATATTTATACCGCTGTTCACCTTTCTTGGAGAAGAAAGCTCTCATAAGAATATAACGAATGCGTTCTTTCACCTTAGAATGGTGTGTGGTAGTGCATATATTGGGAAAATATAATGTTCTTATATAAGAAATGATATTTTAGAAGAAAGAACACTTCCACTGCGTAAAAAATATGACACGACGAATGTTTAATCCTACAGACTATTTTTGTTGCTTTTTTTCCAGAGTGTTAACATATTAAAATATTTAAAATGCATCTGTTTCTTAGAAATAGTGATATATTTTTAAAAGTGTTCCAATATCAGGGGAAAAGTAAAATGTATCGCTGCTGAGCTTCAAATCCCAAGCCATAACTGACATTTTCATTGTTTAGCTACAGTACCGTTAATTTGTCGACTGTTTAATCCACAGTACATGTAGCAAATAGCCTGAAAACAATCCGTTAGAAGCTTGTTAAGTTTCTGAAGTAGCTATATATAGTCGTTTAAAAACTTACTTTTCAAACGAAAATGAAATCGCGAGCCATGGGGAACAGATAATTGGATCTTATAACGTATAATTAAGTGAGTAACCCTTGAACAATGTCCCTAAGTGCTCAGATCATCTCGGTGACTGTTTTAACATTACGGTATAAACATTCGGATCATTCTATAAATAATTATTTAACAAATTAAACGTTTATAAGTACATATATATAACCGTATTTTTGGGGTTTGTTACACATGATACAGTGGTCGGGGTGAAACATTTCATTAAAAAAAAATACTTATCATTCTGATAACTTTCCGATCAAAGTAAAAGTCTGTGTAAATCTGTTGCAAAGTAAAGCTTTTTCATACCGGAAATTACCTGTATATAAGCATACATCATTTATTCAACCATCAGGAGACATCTTTACAGAAATAATATCAATATCCATTCTAAGTGATTATTAATATATTCTGGAAATATTTAGCGGGGGGTGGGGGGGAGTTATCAACCCAACTCAGTATCAGTAATTTGATAGTATCCAATATATATTAAAAGGTTATTTACAGTTTGTTAAAGAGAGATAACTCATGACAGCTAGGATTGAAATTTAAATAGCGTATTTCTCTGTGTGATCATATCATCTTATTTAACCAAGATGTACTCGGATCAGTTGTCGATACGGTCATTAACATAGAAAATAGTATCAATATAATATAATAACTTACTTACATATTTTTTCTTGACCTTGGTTTTGATCTTCGAATAACAGTAGTAGCGACTGAAAAGTTACATGTGAACAGAAAGAAAGGACACTATAAATCACAATAACATATCATAGAAATACAGAATTCCCCACCAATTTTGCTTTCAATTTTTACAAAATAATCTAGCCTTACTTGATTTCTGTTGAAATTCATCAATATCAAATAAAAAGGATACGCCGCAAATATCATGAAGTAGGCAACAACTAAGACTTGAAGTCCCATTATTAATATCGGGAAAGCCAGTGTTGTCAATATCCCGCCGACGGCTCTGAAAATAAATCAACATCAAAAATATGTTAAGCTTATTCTTTTCAGTTTCAAAACCATTTGATATTTGTTCCATATAGTTTCTTAATACAACATTTAGTCATGTCTAATCGCATTTATGAATATCGTAACTTATAACCGATGTTTATTTGGAAATGAAAAATTACAGCTGAAGTTATTCATTTGATACCAATTTAATCATACTTTTACTCTTACAGATGGTTATATTAATAAGGTTTTGATTTCATGGTGTTTTATTACTACGTGATATATAAAATTCCTTAAGTACATCAGTATGGAATTCGGTCATGATGTTCATTTCATCCCAGATTGGTGAAACGAAGGATTTTCAGTTCTACCGAGTATCTGGCGAGAGGAAAATCAAAATGAACATGGAAATAGAATTTGGTTGGGGTTTCTTTTGGCTTTGTTCCCATGGTAACACAAAAATATGAAAAAATGAAATGTCAGTAGCAAAAGGCACGACTAGGGTACTAACTTAATATATACAGCAAGATCTGTGTAGTTGGGTCTTGATGTTAAAGCCCGGAAAAGCCATCGGACGGATGGACACACACACGCACGTACGAACGGAGCCCAAATTAATATCCCCCGAAAACGCGTTTCGCATTGGATAAAAAGGATTCGAGTTCAATCTCTTATTATTTAATTCTTATCATTATTACATCATTGTTTAAATACGTTTTGCTGCATATGTATAGTCTTTATTGTGACTTCATAACACTAACTGTAAATGTTTAATACTGATCCATAAGCACCTTATGTCCGCTAACATAACGAAATATTTTATACTGCTCTGATGTTGTTCTACTGTAGCATTATCTCCTGTTTTCATCTACCTGCTAGCTTCTTTCATCAGACCGATAGCTATCCTTATCCTCGTAAACAGGAATAAGACCATAACCAGTACAATGACGAATAACACCATGGCCACAATAGCTGTAAAGAAACAGAGCGTGATAAATACAAAACGTGTGAAATACTTATGACATGATAAATGTGAAAAAAATAATTTCCATTATCTTCGCGTCATGAAATACTATACTATATAACAAATTACCAAAGCTTAAATCTCTGTTATCAGGGAAATTAGTCAAATATCAAAAACGTTGCAAGTCTCTCATTCATCGCATTCCTATCAGGCATAACATGGACGGTATCAAATCTGGAATTGCGAGAATTGTTTTGATTAACATCGCAAAAAATTCATAATCATAATCCAAACTCAAATTTTATCAAACAATGACAAAATAAGAACAACAGAAAGATTAAACGGAGAGTCCTGAAATAGTATTAGGAGAAAACGGACATGTGTTCCGGAAGAGTACGCATATTTTGCTTCATCGACGACACAACGGAACCAACAAGCAAACGTGCATCAAACATATCCAGCTTAATATCACACAAAGAGAATATTTCTCGTTGAGATCACTATGGCGACCATATAACTTCCTCATAATTTTCATCAACTTCCATCGTCCCTGTGTTACAGGTTTGTCCATAAGTTAACGATTTCTTGACAAAAATCATGATAATGGGAACAGGCCTTATGTAAATACTAAAAGTTGGAGATGCAGACGAAATAATGATATTTTACTTTCTAAATACATTTTTTTTATAAACAAATGATATCATTTGATTTTTAATGGCTAAATATAGCATCGAAGAAACAACAACTTAAAGAGTTAAAAAAAAATGTCGAATATCTAGGCAATATAAACCATCCTTGTCTACAAACAAATAAACGAAGAATTTCACTTATAAAACATCAGAGCAAAAGAATTTAAGGTTTCTTGCCCTTGTCACAAGACAAAGCCATTAATAATTAATGAACGACATGTGTTGAACAAAAATGCTTCTCCTAGATTTCTCTGGACTGATTAGGATTCCGATGCTTATTAAATAAATAATACATCATGGTTTACCATGTAGATGAATTTCAGTCATTGAAAATCAATGTAATTGAACATACCAAGCCCGAGATACATATTCGATTTCGAATAATATATTCCTCCTTCGGCGATGGCGATGAACATCTCATCATTGTCCCCTTCAGGGTCGACGTAAGCCATCAGGAAGTAAAAAGACGCTGAAGAATATAACCGCAACATCAACAAAGCAAAGAAATCCTAATTAAGAATCTTATATAAATGTTTGGTAAAAGAAATTAAGAATCATTATCAATTTTCTGAAACGAACACTGTATCAATTCAATTAACCAGAGACTGGAGGCGAATATTTCAGACCTGAGGTGAGTATTTGAGACCTGAGGTGAGTATTTCAGACCTGAGGTGAGTATTTCAGACCTGAGGTGAGTATTTCAGACCTGAGGTTAGTATTTCAGAAGCAAAGATTACTTTTGTTTAACTCTTACATTCTAGATGCCAACATTGAATTCTTCAATTTTAGAATGAACAATGATGTACTCAAGGGATAAAGAAACGCAGGGTGACATTATTTGCAATATCTTGCGAACCCGTTGTTCAACAATAATTCTTGGAAGAATGGGCCAACATCCCAATGAAGAGGATAAAGTCACTAATGAACTCCATGCCTGTGGAGAGAGCGAATGGGGAACATACCCGATATTGACTAGCCAGCTCCATAAATCAGTCCATTTCGATCTCAGATTACAGAATCCTCTTTCAGTTCCTTTCATTTACTTCTAAATCACTTACCAGATACATTTCGTTGATTTTGCAGTTTGTTCTGTATGGATTCATCTTCATTCTTACTTTCAAACATTGAACATTATACTCAGCGTCTTGCCTAGAGGCATCTTCAAAGTTTAGCCTGCGTTTCTTTATTGCTTGAGTATAGATTTCCAAAATAGTATTTCTACGAACCCCCTCAGTGAAATGTTTATACTGTATTACACTGATCACAAAAATATGTCAAAAAAAAAAAAAAAAAAAAGGTAAGGTAAGTAAGGTACCATATCCAAACGCTCCCAACATTCCGAAGATTGTGAACCACACGATGAAACCAGCCATTAAGCGAAGCAACACGATGTAAATCAGAGATAGTATCATGGCAATAATCATGAAACTGAAATGCAGAAGAAAAACATATTTTTTTATCATCATTTTCTCAAAATTCCCAGTTGAATCTCACTTGTAGGAATCAAGAGGGAACCTATGTACTTTTACTTACTCTCTAAACCAAAGCTATAGGTAATTAACATGATAAAGTCGTGTTTAAGTTGGTCGTTTAAGCCTCTCATTTAGGTCATGGGTGACATAAATTCAAGATCCGTGTAATAAGAGTAACACATAGTATAGTATGTAAGATTTAAGCGTAGAACACTTACATAATGATTATCCACCATGTATTCAATATATCAGCCATAATCTTCTCGGCATACTCCTTAGCCAATATGAACGCACCAAAAACACTGCCAGAAAATGAATTATATATTAGTTTACATATGTTTTTCTTTTTGTGTTTTTATTCTGTGAAATTCCAGTACTAGAACTAATTTTCTGTTTTTTTAAAAGTATTGATTGCGTTGTTCGTTTCTGTAAAGTATTTTCTCATATCCGATTCCTTTTTCAATGGCAATCATCTTTTAATAACTATGGTAACTTCAGTTCCATAAAATCCATGCTTCAACTTAAAATTGAGGAAAAACTGAGATAAGGACAAATATCAACAAGACAAAAGAAATTTTATCACGGAATACGTTTAAAGAAGATAAAATTGTGCAGCCTGTATAGCGATTGGTAAATTATCAAACTACGGAATCATGCAACGTTTTAAACAGTATGTGTTACATTTGTTATACATACTCCAATCCCTCGGCTAATATACTATTCGTCAATGTTGTGCCATCCTTGTCGGTCAGAACAGTGGTGGCACTACTGTCAAGATTTTCGTTAAGGTTTCCGATGCCAGTTAAAACGTCCAGCAGCACATTCGGCACACACCGGCGGATTACTGCACATCAAAAATATGGTTCACCAGGTAACCCTTTTTTTATTAAAATGTAGTTAAAACATTATTTTAAAATCGAAATAATCACAATTTCTAATAATTTTTATTTTTACATTCTTTACATTGATGATTCATTAATACACAACTTTTTTTCATATTTTTGAATATATGATTCTTATGATTTACACAAAAGAGAAATTGTTGAAGATCAAGGTAGAACACTTGCTTGGAGAGCTGGCGAGAAAGTAGGCAGGGCACGAGTCGTCAGATACCAGCTGGTAAACATCTTTCTGCAATCGAAACGTACTATCAAATTGTCTTTGTTACATTAAAATATTGGAACTTAAACAGATATAAACAATCAAATTATTTAACTCAAAAGAAGTTTGTTTCCTTAAACAAAAACCCAACAAAACGTCCCAATAAGGAGATTTTTTATTGTGTATATGTGAAATTTGAGATTGGGGGTGGGGGTGGCATGTGCGTGAATGCTGAATGAGGTTTTGTATCTAAATAGAAACACAATTGAATCGAATCAGGAGTTTTTATACTGAGATCACCAATACCGTAAACCAGAACAACTAATATTTGGCAATTCACAGCCATGACATCTATAGTTCAGCATCTAACCATAGGATCATTAATATGTTAATTGATGCCTTTAACTTTAAGCTCGAAGTTCGCGCAAATATCTCCGATATTACTTACGGTCATATCAGCGGAGGTTTTACAGTATCTCAAATCAGTGACGCTTTGCACATCTGTTAATACCGAATAGTAGTTGGATGGACACGTAGTGACGCAAATCTGAAAGGCCAAGAAAAATACACCATTTACTGTTCCCCTGATGTGACATTTTAAAGACAGCTGTTTCCTTGACGTCATTTGATTACAGACAATACTTAAGCGTTGACATAAATAAACAGTATAATGAAAGGAAACAAAATGGTATTTTGAAATATATGGTTACATTTCTACATGAATTGTGTTTTGTTACATACCTGTGGTGAAGGACAACCGACCAGGAAGGCGGCTATCCCTGACTTCGCACACTGAATGATATCGAAATAGAACAGATATTCTTTCCCTCTGAAAATAAACATAGCATAACAATTATGAACTTCGAGCAATTTTACTCTCAGATCGCATTGAAAAAGATTGGTTTTAGGTTTGTTTGTAGTATATCTCAATTTTATGACCAATCAATTAGGTTGATAATCGTATCAGTATAATATCATGAGAAACATTATCAACAATATAACCTTGCTGACTTAATTAAACAGTTTATTTGTTCAACATTACACACTGGACTGGACACGTGAGCACGACTTCCTCTGACATTTATTGACAGCTTTTAACGTTGTTTATATACATCTTTTATTTTTAAATATAATAACAAATTCCTTTTTACATAAAACTATTACAATTTTAAACTAATATTTTTTAAATTTTTCATCAAACCTAGGAAGCGACTGAAAAACTCTAAAGTGACAGAAATGACAATTCTAGATGGGGTTTCGGTGCACTAGCCTCTTATGTTACTTCGTAATTTCTTTATATTAGTAATAGATAACAAGACTTACTTGATATCTGACAACAATATTAAATATTACACTTACGCATTAACTCCCGATCCACACATGACGCCTTCGGAATCCACGGGATATAATAACAACAATGGATTGCCGTTCATGAATGCTGTTACAGAGAAATGTTTTATTATGGACATATGATTCAGATGATTTACAAGACGACAATATGGAAATAACTTTATCTGTTGCTATTTTGATTTGATGACGTCTTTCCTACTGATCAAGTTGTCTATCTTTGTTTATTAAGTTTTGTGTGTGTGGAGGAGAGGGAGGTGTCTGTAGTTTCATTTTCAGATTTTGCGTGAATGGTGTGTTCAGAGAGTTATCATCAATATAGAAGAGTAAACAAAAACATATCCTTTGTCACACACATGCAAATGACATATAAGTAATAATCCGGTCAGAATCCATAACTGTTTTTAAAACTGAATATATGACCATATATTATACAGCAAATGTGTATCACCTCCTGATTAAATTTGCAATATTTGTTTCCGCATTCACACAAAGCATCAAGTTTTAAGATTGTTTCTTTACCTCAGGAAACGGAATTTATCCTTACATTTGAGTTCACTTAATGTTGATTGTTCTATGTTGACCTCTATAATTCCTGAATGCATCGCTATGTACAGACACTCACAATTGCAATGTATATGTCGGATTTCTAAATGAGCAACTACTTTATTTTGCTCATCAACGATCACTTACTCTCAGTATTGTGTATTATGTAAAATTGGGAAAAGCATGTTTTTCGTATTTACTGAATAAAATTCTATACTATCAATGTACTTAAAGCATTCTAATCGTCAGAAAGTGATATCGGAGTATTTTCCTATCATTATTTCAAAAACTCAAGTTTTTCGTCTTTTTTTAATTTCAGTTAACGAATAAGTAACCTTCGCATTTGCCTCATAAAGTTTTACGTTGAGCGCATTTGTATGACTTATTATACATTCTATGTGCAAGAGTTTCTTTTTTATCTACCAGCATCAAAACAGTGAAATATATACTACAATATAGTCCGATTTATGTATTATCATTGATCATGAGCATGCTTACCATAAGCAGATATCAACAGGAGTAGGCCGAAGAAGATGAGGAAAATGAGACAACAGATGATATCTGTGCAAGATCTGAAAATAATTAATATATAAGTAAGTGGCCTTTTCTTCTCAAATCTGTTCATTAAGTACTCATATTTCCAATCATTCTCTCATTTTGTCCATCAGTTCGAAAAAAAGTTGTAAGATTTGAGCGGTATAGCATCATTCATACAAAGATATGCAACATGCTTAAGGAATATGTTACACTTTTATTATATCGAACAGAGACCCCTTTACACAATAACCATATTAAACTTCGCTTTGGTATGGAAAAGACAAACAAACATACAAACAAATATGTTCTACTTCATATCGAACAAGGATATAAAGTATTTTCCAATGAGATGAATCCCCCCATTTTTCTTATGAAAACTAATCCTACCTTTTTTTCAATGGTCCTTTGAAGCCAGGATCATGCTGTTTTGGTTTACCTGAAATCAAAAAACGCGTCCAAAAAGGTAAAAAATGTTTTAACAAACGTAATTCATATCCATACTTTTCTTCTAAACTCTGATGTTATTTAGCGCAATTAAAATGACGTTTTGCCAACAATGATAACTTGAAGTTATATATGGTGAAATCATGTACCAACAAGAATTATGAAGGATCGAGGGAACTCAATATCCACTCTATCTTATAGTAAATGTATAGCAGCATGAGTATTTTCATTCTATTTTGTAACCATGCCGATTTTTTGTTATACAATATGAGTATATTACTCATTTTACAATAAATGTTAAACAATTGTCTGTTTGATATCGTGATATAAACATAAGATTCTTCTGTTCCTCGCAACGGTACAAATTATGGAAAATCAAGTATACATCAGTGGAAATATTTAATTTAAATAAGTACGACATCACAATGGAGAAAATGTACAATCTTACATCATATTAATAATTATGTTAGTGAGACACTTTAGGATGAATTAAATATTCAAATATAGGAAGATACCTAGTCGTATCTTGTCTTGATCCAACTCTTTTTACACTAAACTATTATACTAGATTTGTATGGATTTGAACATTGATTATTTACTAGAAAACATTTAACATTGCCATTGTCACATAAGAGTTATACTTGGAACGAAACGTCACACCACGTGATTAGCTGTATTTGATAATTGGTTTACTTATTGATTGATGTGTGACTAGAACTATTATCTGTATTGGTTATGTAAGAACTGTACCATCATCTAGTCCGGTAAAATATTATAATTAGTGCTTGGTAAAAAAAACGAACGACTGATATTGCTTAAAGAAAATAAAGCAGTAGGTCTCGATTTGACTAGGAATTTCAAATGATACTACACGTATATTTATTCATTTGTAATTACAGCCTTACATGCAGATCATGCCAATTCTTTTGTGCGTGTTTTAAGTCTGAAGTATGGTTATTCTTCATTTTTGCAAATGAGAGCTCTATGTTGCTAAAACAGGTAAGTCAAAACCATAACACATGGCTTTGTTAAGGTTAACAATATACAATTCACGTTGTTTTAAATATACACAGTGATCGTGACCTATATCCCATAACCATTACGTAGGTAGACGATTTTATATGGATAAGTACAGTAAAGCTTGATAGTGAATTAATTTAATCATACAGCTGTTTTATCCTTCTGATGCTAAGAGACTAAATTTTGAAACCTGGAGAGTATCCAAACATGAGAGAGTCTTTTGAAAATTAAGTAGTTATTACATCTATAAGCTATTGATACTTGTACCTAATGTTAAGTTTGTTACACTAGATAATGAAATTCCATTACATTATCACTAAGACTAAATGTTAGGAAATATACTCTACACTTATAAAAATTATTGTAAAACCGACTCGGCGTATTAGCAGAAAGTTCACAAAATACTACAAGCTTGAATTGTGGGTTAAGTGCACCTCTATTTTTGTGTGAAACATTTCAATTTCCTAATTTCCTTTTTATTACATGATTTCTTTGTTATGCAGTGAATATACTCACATAGTGTTTTTGCGTATTACACATGAGTAATATAACTTATTGTGAAGTCACTTTATATAACGAAACGACGTTGCATATTCATAAGAATTAATTGTACTTATGACAGTTTCATCATCTGCGCTTCTGTGCATTTTACTTTGAAATGCTTTATATGGGGGAGGACGATTTGCCTTATACTGAAATAAAATCAATTTAAAGTTGAATCTAGATTTGATATTGATGTGATAAAATTTTGTTCATATTAAATGGTTTTCAACTTTTTCCAATAAAATGACATTTTAGATTTGTATTATATTGGATAGTTATAGTTTATGCTTTAAAAAACACACAAGTGAATAATTAATCATTTGATACATTAGAGACAGATAATGAACTGGACTGCATTCTTTAGCTGTTCCGTCCTTCTTTGGCTTGTTCCTTTGGTGTATTTTTATATCCAGGAGGCAAAAAAAGAAATGTGGAAATCTAGATTGAGAGATGTACGAGCCCCATGATTAAGTAAATCTCCCGATTGTTATTACAGAAATACAGATAGATTTGGACAAGTATATCATTGCCTATAATATGACTAGTTGGTTGTTAAAATTTTTCATTATAACAATTTTTATGAGTTCGTATGTAGTTTTCTTAATGCGTAATATTATTCACAATAAGTAATGAGAAATCGTCAGTATACAAGGTTACTTAAAATAAACTTCTTTTATGTGCGCAGTTTTAGGTGCTGCAGACGGGCAAATAACACAAGCATGAACAAATACTAGCCTTGTTATTATGACAGCTTTCAGAGCAAAGCAAAAATGTCACACGAAACAAAACGTTATCTCAAAAACGTCAAGTCTTACCATAGTCCTTTGTCTCTCCCCCTGAAATAGTAATAAGATTTTTTCCCAAAATAGGATTCAGACAATAGTGTTATAAAAACACATACAAAGGAAGATATGATAGTAAGCAATAGGCGCTCACTCCATATCGTTTTTCGCGTGAAATCAATTAAATGTATCAAGTTTCACACAAAAAACCAATGCATTGATGTCGCAAGTACCTTCAACCCTTTGAATCTGATTGGACTCTTCAAACGGCAGTTGAAAATTTGCGTAAAATCTCGTTATCATACAATTATTATATACTTTGATCAGTTAAAGCATTGCTTTGTCGTATAATCAATATTCTCCTTACTAATATTTATCACCATCAGTTACAGAGTCAACATTGTTCCTACTCATGTTATCAACATCAGTTACTGAATCAACATTGTTACTACTCATTTTTATTGTCAGTTACAGAGTCAACATTGCCCCTACTCATGTTATAAACATCAGTTACAGAATCAACATTGTCCCTACCCATGTTTATTGTCAGTGCCAGAATGAAGATTTTCCCTACTCATCATTATACCTAGTCAGAATTGTACTCTTATGTCACAGAGTCATAATTATACCTAGTCAGAATTATACTCATATGTCACAGAGTCATCATTATACCTAGTCAGAATTATACTCATATGTCACAGAGTCATCATTATACCTTCTCAGAATTATATTCATCGGTCACAGTCAACATTATACCTAGTCAGAATTATACTCATATTTCACAGAGTCATCATTTTACCTTCTCAGCATTATACTCATCGGTCACAGAGTCATCATTATACCTAGTCATATTTATACTCATCGGTCACAGAGTCATCATTATACCTACTCAGAATTATACTCATCGGTCACAGAGTCATCATTATACCTAGTCAGAATTATACTCATCGGTCACAGAGTCATCATTATACCTAGTCAGAATTATACTCATATGTCACAGAGTCATCATTATACCTAGTCAGAATTATACTCATCGGTCACAGAGTCATCATTATACCTAGTCAGAATTATACTCATATGTCACAGAGTCATCATTATACCTTCTCAGAATTATACTCATATGTCACAGAGTCATCATTATACCTAGTCAGAATTATACTCATATGTCACAGAGTCATCATTTTACCTTCTCAGAATTATACTCATATGTCACAGAGTCATCATTATACCTAGTCAGATTTATCCTCATCGGTCACAGAGTCATCATTATACCTAGTCAGAATTATACTCATCGGTCACAGAGTCATCATTATACCTACTCAGAATTATACTCATCGGTCACAGAGTCATCATTATACCTACTCAGAATTATACTCATATGTCACAGAGTCATCATTATACCTAGTCAGAATTATACTCATATGTCACAGAGTCATCTTTATACCTAGTCAGAATTATACTCATCGGTCACAGAGTCATCATTATACCTAGTCAGAATTATACTCATATGTCACAGAGTCATCATTATACCTAGTCAGAATTATACTCATAGGTCACAGAGTCATTACACAATTGTTATACCTACTCAGAATTATACTCATATGTCACAGAGTCATCATTATACCTACTCAGAATTATCCTCATCGGTCACAGAGTCAACATTATACCTAGTCAGAATTATACTCATATGTCACAGAGTCATCATTATACCTAGTCAGAATTATACTCATCGGTCACAGTCATCATTATACCTAGTCAGAATTATACTCATATGTCAGAGGTCATCATTATACCTAGTCAGAATTATACTCATATGTCACAGAGTCATCATTACACCTAGTCAGAATTATACTCATCGGTCACAGAGTCATCATTATACCTAGTCAGAATTATACTCATCGGTCACAGAGTCATCATTATACCTTCTCAGAATTATACTCATCGGTCACAGTCATCATTATACCTAGTCAGAATTATACTCATCGGTCACAGTCATAATTATACCTTCTCAGCATTATACTCATCGGTCACAGTCATCATTACACCTAGTCAGAATTATACTCATCGGTCACAGTCATCATTATACCGTCTCAGAATTATACTCATCGGTCACAGTCATCATTACACCTAGTCAGAATTATACTCATATGTCATAATTATACAGGTCATCATTACACCTAGTCAGAATTATACTCATATGTCACAGACAGTCATCATTACACCTAGTCAGAATTATACTCATCGGTCACAGTCATACCTTCTCATTATACCTTCTCAGCATTATACTCATCGGTCACAGTCATCATTACACCTAGTCAGAATTATACTCATCGGTCACAGTCATCTTTATACCTAGTCAGATTTATACTCATATGTCACAGAGTCATCATTATACCTAGTCAGAATTATACTCATATGTCACAGAGTCATCATTATACCTAGTCAGAATTATACTCATATGTCACAGAGTCATCATTATACCTAGTCAGAATTATACTCATATGTCACAGAGTCATTATAGTCATAGGTCACTGAATCGTCATTACACAATCGCCATGTTACAGAGTCGTCATTTTTCCTTCTAGAGTAATACTCGTCGGTTACAGACATCATTGTCCCTTCTCAAATTTGTCAGACTAAGTCACAGAATTATAAGCAATCGTACTCATTTCTTTTTTATAATAATCATTGCCCCTTTTTACTGTGTAAAAAAAGTTATAATAATAACAAAAATGTATTTACCTTGTCAGATAATACATACAAAAATAAACATAATTTTCTGATAAAAAATGACAAATTTTAGATATCTAGATATCAGATTATAAGGGTGTGTCTAATACTGTTAATCCGGGACAATAGATGTATCTAATAATATTGGTCGGGTAGCGCAGAGGTAACGGACTCCCTTTCATCTAGGCGTTCGTGGTTCACTCCTCGAGGAAAAGTGAACACGTATAGGGTCAATATGCCCGACCCTAGGGATTTTCTCCGAGGTACTCCGGTGTCACTACCACAGTAAATTCCTCATGCTTCCATGCAGGCCAACAACAATGACTGATTTAGGGTGATATCTTGTCCCTCAATTTTGGTGAATTTATATTTACTTGTTTATTTTTATAAATAGACAGTAAATGAAGGAACATAAAATCAAAATATCAATGAATGAATGGAGTATATAGACTTTGTAAGTAAACCCATCAACGTAGGATCAAATATTTACTTTATTCCTCTTTAAATAAGTTTCCAGGGTCCATTAAACTTGATATTTATTTCGCTTCATTGTGCAATCAAAGACACATTGAAAACTTACCTTTTTCATTTAACCTGAGTATGTTATATTTTGTAAAATAAACATATTTATTTAGTTATTTAAAGCAGTAATTAAACAAAAAGTAAAATAAATTGAATGTTGGACACAACCAATTAGCAAATGTTTTTATTATGGCTGAGGTTCATACCCCAAAATTCATAGTTTACATGTATATTTCTTACGTGATTATTTTACATACAAAATAAGATCGTTATTAACTTACCTTCGGGAGCAACCTTCGACATTTTTGTTTGTTGTTAATATCCGTATTCTTATATAAATCCACCACACTTTTTATCTATATAATATACGACAGACTCACATCTAAGATGGCGACTATACAGGTTGTACTTACTTATATATACCCTTACATTAGCCAAAAACTAAATGACATGCGTTTTAAAGAATTGTTTTTGAATTAGGGATTTTGATAGAAACACAATGGTTTAGACTAACTTAACTGACTATCTGATGGTATTCAATGTGGATCTTTTAAACGCATCACGCGTGACGGTTCAATGTATAAATCTCCATTGTTATAAACCGCTGCGATAGATTGTCGTCATATGTATACATGAACTATAGAATGGTTAATTCGCCTTGTCTTTAACACAGGGTTTAGTTTGATTACACACAATAGGAAATTCAGTATTTCTTTTTATGATGTAGTTTGAATTCAAGTTACGTCGACGTGGCGAATCTTGAACAAGCAATGGAGTTGATAATATATTCCACGAGTATTTTCAAACTTCACATTTCTTACAAGTCGCTAATGTAAGTTTTTTCCCGTGTTTTTCTTGACTAATAGTAAAATAGTAACGGTAGTTTTGAGTGCTTTATTACGGTACAAAAGAAATATATATCGAAAATCAAGGACCTTGTGTCATTGAATTGCACAAGGGAAATAACTCCTGCATCTAAACATCATGGTAAATTTAAGTTATGACTTATTTTGGAATTACTTCCGTCAGTATTGAAAGATTTTTTTATTATTTACAGTGTCCTATACAGTGTTAAGTTTTTTATTTTGCTTTGAAAGTCCATGTTTGTCTGACGAACAAAACGGATATGTTGTGTTCCCATTCGGTTCAAACGTTCATAAAAGCAATAAATCATGTTATGGTCAATGGCATAAATTAAGTAATCATCTTCTCTTTTCTGTTTTCCCCTTCCCAGTTCCCTGTCGGTTTCTAATTATCTCCTCTCATTCGAGATTGAAAACATGAAGAATGTGGACGATGCAATTTCCGGGAGAAGCCGTTGTGATAAGTTATGTCAACACTTTGTTATACTTAACAAAATATCTTTCATCAATCAAATGCGCTCGCGCTATCTTCTGTTATATCATCTACTTTTATAGACAACCCTACACCCTCCCCGACTCTCAAACAAATCGCAAGGTTTGTATGTAAATGGTAAATGTACCATTATGTTTTAACACATCTGCACATCTCAGTGTAATGCTGGATATGACAAATAAACTTCTCATCCGTTTCAAGAGATTATAATTCAGACACACACAAGCAATCAATCGGACGCAAAACTAAAGATTCTTGAAAATATACAAAGAATAGAACAGACGTCGAGATCATAAAACTCGACACGCGATGCAACTCAATAGACACGAAGCCAAATGTACAAATAGAACAAACAAACCTTAAGGACGTCATAAGTTTAATAGCACCAAAGAAATGTCTATGAAAAGTCAACAAGAACATATATTAATAAAATTATTATACAATTAATTTAAATCCGTGAATAGGTAACAAGAATTTATGCAAACAAATGATATGTTGATTTAATAAAAATAGCATTATACATGAACAGTATACATATATCATGGCAAGAATCAATTTCCTCTGTATTTAAAACAATACACACAGTATTGTAATGACGTTGGATTTCTTTAAAGTGCGATGAATAGATACACACTCGAGAACTCTAGCAATGGATTTACTTTTATCACTGGTAAAACAAACAAAATTCATTTTGTTTTTCAAAGTTGTAGGTTTTGTGAAACCTGACTTTTCCTTATTACTGTAATACAAGAACTCTAAATTTTGTGCATTTGAAGAAAATCTTCATAAAATTATACAACTCAAATGGTTGATATACTTCAAAATGATATTATGTTATGAATTTCATTGGATCATTCCTGCTTTCAGTGTAACATACTGTATATTATAGGTGTTAATTATGACGAAGGAGAAATTGTTCATTTGAAAAATCATACCATTTGTAAAATTATAACATATTTCAAGACAATATTTCCTTTTTCAAAAGTAAAAAACGTGCAGTCAAATGCAAAATCGGAGACAAATCACAATTAATGAAATACAGACAAAGACTCCTGTTAAACGAGCTTCCTGTTTCAAAATCATATAAGCGAGATAGTCTGATCTCGTTTTGATAGAATTTCTACAATACACGGGTTGAAGCAAGATGGCTGACACAAAAAATATTTATATTGTGACATACATTGAGTGGTTAGACCAAGGACAATAAATGACGACCGTGGTGCTACAAAGTTTTTTTTGTTAATTTTGAAGAATATATATGTAACAACTCAACCATCCATAATCAAACCCAATCACGATTGGTTCAATCCAAGACAACAATATCACAGTATATAAATCAATAATTCCAAAATCACTAACCTGAATTCAATTTTTTGAAGATTTTGTCATTCTGAATTTTAACAGACAATATTTCAATATAAGAGGAATTGGATTATCCTTTAACATTCTGTAATCCTTTAATTATCATCCACCTGAAGGTTAACAGGCACGGTAAGGTATCAAGAAATATCAGAAGGTCAAGAAGGTTATATAAAAGAAGGTCATATAAAAATAGCATTATTTCTTATCATAATAACAAACATTGTCAAAAAGAATATTATCACAGCTGGTCCTGTATCATTTCTTAAATATGCTTGCAAACTTTTGGGATTTTCATGGGAGTGATCACACATGTCTAAAACTTCAAGGCTCAGAAAAGTTGCTTTAAATAACTCAGTCTCTTGCACAAATTAGATTTTTTTTTTGAAATAGTGAACAATTCGAAATATTTACTAATAATTTCTAAAATGGGGTGGAAATCGAAAATCTCGTTCCTTGACAGGAAGGGGTATGGCAAATATGTATGCAAGATTTCTGTGTTTCAAAATTGTATCACTAGACTTATCTAATCACAAATAATGACAAAATGAAATAAAATACAATGTGTTTATACCTAGTCTATACCATCATTGTAGCTGTTACAAATTAAGGTTGTAAAATGAAAGCGTTTAAGACAATGTATTTCTTCAATCTTACATGGATCTCTGATAATGTTATACAGGGGTCTCCTGATCACATCACACTAAATACTCTTCAACACAGCTCAAAAGAAATACTATGTACATGTGAATAAAGAAATCAACAGAAAACAAGAAATGATTACATATTCTTTTCTGTGGTTACAACAGAATTATCCAACAACTGGATACAAATTATAACAAACAGAAAAATGTAACATTCTTGCATACTTTTGGTAAAAAGTAGAACGGCTCAGTGGAATAAAACAATTTGTATTTAAAGTAATTTAAAGACTATCCTAGAATGTTGTTGCTGCTTCTGGACTTTTTCCGTGAAAGCTTGTGCTATATTTGCCACTTCTACTACAGTTATAGAATAATTTTATATGATCCTAGAGCAGTGCATATAAGTTAAAATACACCACAACTGGATATGAACATACTGTTTGGTGTCATTACAAAGAGTGTTTTGATCTCAAGCACAATGATAAATTGACATTTAACTGGCATTTTGTTTTATTATTTTTTCTTATTTTTTAATGTTTCATCACATTTCCTGTGAAATACATGAATGTCAAAATATTCTGACATGAAAGAAAAATGAGACAAAGAAGTTTGTGTATCATATGGCATATAGGATTCATGTCTTGCAGATAACTGTCAGATTGTTGAATTTTACTAACAAATTCATGTGAGCTTAATCAGATAATTCATGAGACAAAGATTTCACAATGTTTTAACATATGTATCGTAAAATTGAACAAATTTCATTTAAGTAACAAATATGTTGCTCTTAACATAACTAACACTTTGTCTGCAAACAGAATCCTACTTCTGTATTTCTATATATTATGATATATTATGTATTTAGGAAATTGATTCCATGTTATGCTTTTAAGATCACTGTTCATCAATTGTATTTAATCTTTGAGACATTTGGCAAGACATTAAAAAGTTTATAATAAATAATACACATGGGACTTAAAATAAAGACTATTATTCCCATTGTTAACTCTGATAGTCTTTGAGAAGGGAAATATCCCTAGTAATATAATATATGAAATTACATTGTATCACTTACAAATTTTTAGTGCTAACAGCAATTATCATGGAGTATGGTAACATATATTACCATATTATCTTAAGAATAGATTGCCAGCATCTTCATGAGAATCACAATACATTTCTATGATCTATGAAATTATATTGATTGAATATGGCAAAAATGTTCAATTTTTAAAATCCGTTCCTCTGAAACATCATTTAATGACAATATTTTTGAAGTGCTTTTAATTCCATCCATATCAAAGTTTTCTCCCTTATCAAGCAATTTTCTTGATTCATGCCTATAAACTGTTAACCAGGAGGTTTTTCAAGCTTTTGTGTTTGTATTGTCTTATTCAGATTTCTTTCTCCTATGGGTTTTAAAGTATGATGAAGGATTACCACACTCACCATTACTTTGATCAAACTAAAACATAATTGTTGAGATTAGTCCCTAAGAAATTGGGAATCATTCAATACAAAATTAATTTGGATATATGTTTGCTTAAATCAATTTTCCTGAAAACCAGTCATAATTACTAACAATAAATACATGTCAGAGTTTCAAAGTGTAGTCCAATTAGGGAATAATGTGTTGTCTGGCATGTATCAAAACGTGAACATGATTCACAGCAGTTCAAACCTGGATTTATATGTACAGCTTAAGGATTGTCTATCAAATGTAGACCCAGTATTCAATAAGGATTATTCAACATTTTTTGATAATAAATACTGTTCTTTCTAAGTACATTTATGTAAGTAATCATTAAACATTCATTATGTTAATCATTCACAGCCTCCACTTCTACCATCAATAAAGGATGTCTTTCATCTTTGAATACAAACTTTGATTCAATTCAATCAGACTATTTGATTGACTGACTTTGATCACTGTGGCCTGGGACTCTTGAAGTTCTAATATCCCTGCAAAAAAGGTTTCCATGCCAATGTTTTCATATCTGTACACCCAGCATAGCACATTGTTCGGTAACTATGGTGATGGTGTCTTTAAAAGTTCTCCCCGTGTGATCCCTTCTTCTTCTTGTCAGCCATAACTTGATTTTTCTTGCCGAGGATGTTCATCAGATCTTTACTCATATAGAATGGTTTCTCTGTAGTCCCATCATTTCTTTCCAAATCTTCCACTATAAAACATGAACCATACAATTATTAACATGAAAATAGTTTACTTAAGTTCCATACGTGATCTTAACTCTCAGGCTATTGTGTCTCACATTTAAACATCTGGACCCCATGTATGTACATGGTAAAGTGAGTGCATTTAAAACATGGATATGTACTTATATTCTTGTAATATGTCCATGCATCTAGTTTTGCGTTTTGCATGTGTTGTATGCATCTAAATTTTCATGATGGACTTTGTATGTCCATTTATGTATCTATACAGGATGTGATGCACTAGTGAATTTCTATGTCTACTTACGTACCTATACAGGATGTGGTGCGGTAGTGAATTTCTATGTCTACTTATGTATCTATACAGGATGTGATGGTCCAGTGAATTTCTATGTCTACTTATATACCTATACAGGATGTGATGCGGTAGTGAATTTCTATGTCTACTTATGTACCTATACAGGATGTGATGCGGTAGTGAATTTCTATGTCTACTTATGTACCTATACAGGATGTGATGCGGTAGTGAATTTCTATGTCTACTTATGTACCTATACAGGATGTGATGCAGAAGTGAATTTCTATGTCTACTTATGTATCTATACAGGATGTGATGGTCTAGTGAATTTCTATGTCTATTTATGTACCTATACAGGATTTGATGGTCTAGTGAATTTCTATGTCCATTTAATTACCTATGCAGGAATATGTATTTTTTCATGTATGAGTAAGAATTATCCTGTTTATTTGCTGGGTTTAACACTTTGTGAACAGGCAGGGTCATTTTCAGACAGAATCTCCTAGTAGTAGCTTGTGGCTACCTCAATGAACAACATACAGGAGACCCATCACATACTATCCAGAGCAATTAGGGTAAACTGTCTTGCCAAAAGACACAACCACATTAGCACAGACCTGTCGCTTTCTCAATCTTCCTAAGAAACAACTACCACAACAGGTAGGGAGCATCGAATTACAAACCACAGATCTTCACTAGAGGTTACGTATGTCAGCAGTCTTAGCGACTGACCTATCGCGAACCTGAACCCTGTGCTTGGTATCTGAATTACTTGTAGAAACTGATCTGTAGCTATGTATTTGTAAATGTGTTACTATTTGTATGTTCGCACAAGGATGTACCTTTGACAGAAATTTCAATAATAATATACATGGGCAATAGGAATCAAAACAGAATTGCATTTTTAAAACTGTTATAAAATCACTATTCTTTGTTCTGAAAAAAGAACAAAACCTTCATGTTTTGTGGGGTTTTTTTCACTCAGAGTGTACTAGGTATAGGGGGAGTATTTTTTATGCTACTTACAGAAGCAGAGAAACAGTGTATCCACAGCCATGGAATAGACACTGAAGAAACAGCTAGCCACCACATATGACACTATGGTCACAATCTGTTCATACACAAATATAAAGGTTTATAATTAAACCAAAAAAATAAATAAAATCTTTTTTTATATATACCACATCAAACAAAATAATAAAAAAGGTCATTAAAGGAAATTAATGTTTAGTTATTATTGTTGAATAATATACATGTACATTACTTAATGACATATAGTCTTTATTTTAAATAGAGTTACAGTTCTTTGCGGTCAATCTGATCCACCTCACTATTAAGCCCACCTCGCTATTAAGACCACTTTTGTCCAGTCCCCAAAGTTGTCTCAGTAGCAAGGTTTCACCGTATTACTGATTTAATCAAAATATCATAGCCAACCAGGCCCAAATTCTTAATACTGCTGTACATATATGATAATTTTAAGGATCTAGTACATATAGAGACCACAGATGACCTCAGAGGTATTAAACATACATTCAAGTGCTTTTCCAGGAAAACAGAAATTAGTTCATCCATGTACTCACCACAATAGGGACAACATAAAAGTTCAGAGTTGGTGTGTAGTCCTTCAGGAACTCTATACCACCACTAAAGAAGAAGTAGGCTCCAGCAGCTGAAAGTAAGGATTCAGTCAAGATGATATGTCAGAGAAATATTAAGTACTAGGAAAAGAAAGTCATCACTTTATAATTTGTTCTTGAGAGGATATAGGTTTTGTCTGTCCTTATAACTAAGTGTCTTTGTTTTTACATTCTATATAAATACACATAGAAATGTATCTTGCTGACAATACATTTTATCTTTTTGCTCTGCAGTCTGTAATGTCATACAAATGCATATTGTGATAACTTAACAACTGTGCACAAAACTATGTAAAAAGACAATTTAAGGGAGAAAGAAAAGGTGACCTCTATAGTCAGGTGGTCATTATATACAGGTTCAATTTCTATGAATTGTGCTTAAATGGGACCCAAACACAATGGCCTCAATAGAAAGGTATTTGTTACCTGGTATATGCAGGTGGCCTTTAAAGCAGGTTTGACCATATTTATTTACAATTTATCATATTAACATGATATACAGGAAGCCCTTTTAGTTAGTATAGTAAGTCCAGCTGGCTACACATATACAATATATACACCATCTGCAATCACTACACAGATCACATTTTTATTGCTATGAATCTCTATCACTACAGATAACAAACCAGTTGCTCCAACTATCACCAGTTTTCCCAGCAGCATTATGAAGTCTGTGACTTTGTCCACGACAGCAACTCTGCAACCAATTAATAAGTGCAATTAATCTAAATGATAAGGGGCTGGGGGGGAGGGGTTGGAAATACCAACAAGAAGAGGATTTTTTCCCCAATCAAAATTGTAGACTTCAAGTATGTGCTTCGTTATAAATCTTAATCAAAAGACTCATTTTCTTACCTAACAATATTTCGCATGATCAGCATAAAGGCATCTTTGGCAGAAGAACAGAAATTCTTTCCATGTATGGCGACCTAAAACACAACAAATATATCCCTCAAGTCACCTCAAATTAACACAAAACATTTTCAAAGCAAGGTTATTTATTTACTTATTCAAAAGTGAATGTCTAATGTGAACCATCTCACCTGATTTCTTCAGGTCAATGTTGCATATCATAACCTGCTCCAGTCATGACAAATGCTAGAACTGTCTGACATTTCTTTTTTTATCAGGATTAAGAAAACATCCAAATCAATATTTTTTCAATTAATACAGTCAAAATAATGTTTAAACGTAACAAAGAACATCATTCAATACACTTATACAACAGATTGTTTGGTCTTTTTATCTGACGACCCTTTAAAACACCCCTATCATCCTTGAGTTTGAAAGGCTATGACCAGATATTAGGTTTAAAGTTAGTGATACTGATGAACTAGAATGGATCATTTAAATACAGTTTGTTTGATCCATGTCTTGTTGAATTTATGATTAACAAAGAAGAATGATTCCTGAACTTACAAATGCAGTTTAACTACACCAACCTGCTGCAGATCAGAACATGTATCGCGAATTTAACACAAGTGTCCATGTCATATTGGACAAGTTATGTAATTTAATAGAATCTTTGAAGTGTGTCATATTAGTTTATTAGACTCGGCCACAAATTAATATTTTATTCCATGCCTAACTTAAATTCATATAAGACAAAACCCTCGAAATGGACAGGTACATTTTTTTTCATTTCTGTGGTAATAACTTGTTTGGTGTCACTTATTTATGACATGATAATGTCACCATATATCTTATGATATTTATAACAGTCACTATCTCATGACAAACCAAGGTAGAATTTTGATCAAATTTATTTTCCCATTATGTGTGGCTTTTAAATACAATACACCCATTTTATTATTTATCATATTAGAGAAACTAAATTCCAACACAAATCATTTTTTGTACATAAGTTTAGTAATTATTTTATATAAAAATTCAGGGAAATGAAATAGAAACTGAAACTTTTCAAGAATGAATTTTCGATTGAATTGTTTAAGAACATAAAAATAGATTGTTAAAACATTATACTTACCATGATGTAAGCATTTTTGGTTAAAAACTTGAGACATTTCTCTAGACACCAGAAACAGCATTTCAAACACCTGGCACAAAAACAAGATTAATATTTTAAGAATTGTTTTTAAGTTTTGAGAAGAAGTGATAAAAACATCCATATTTTACATTGATTATAGAACTAGATTGTAATTCTTTGAAAGATATATAGTTAAAACATGCTCATTAACATCATCACATACATTCTACACAAATATTATCAATTTTTGTGGAAAAAAAACAAACTTATAAACGCATTAATCTACCAAATAACATATACATTTGACCTGAAATGTGATTTTTGTGCAAGTTTGGTAAACATACATGAGTTTTCACATTTTCAGTGTTAATTGTGAAATAAAAGTCCTATTAATGCCTCAATTTTAGATATGATCCAAATTAGAAGCAAATTTCCATTTCATTCTGTAATATACCAATGTATAGTAACATATTTCAGCCCACCCTTACCACCTACAGTTTTATCATTGTTAGGAAATAATGCCAACTACATGCTTAGGAGTCAGAAATGATTTAATGGCTTATAACTAATGTTTCTAGCAGTTCAATAAATCAATACAGAGAAATCCAGCAGTAATTTTGTAATAAAGTATACTTACTTGAGCAAAAACTTTCCTACTGCATTTTCAGTGCCTTTGAGTTTAGCATCAACATACTCCAACAGTACACGGATCATTGCCACTATGGCCAGGATAAGGGATCCAAAGGCCAGAGAGCCAAGGTGATACCTGTCAATAAGGTTTTATTACAGTTATTGATACAAAAGAAAATGAACAAGTATAAATCATCACACATAGCTGCTTCCTATAGTACTAGATACCTATGATGCTGAAGCCAAATCAGTCAGATTTAAATGTTTCTGAGCATGCCCAGGCAACGTTTCGAATAGTCGATTATTTTCGCAGGGATATTTTCACAATTAGCGATACATTTACATGATTGCAAAAATTTAATCCTTGTAATAATGAGACACATGTGTATTAAATATCATTTTACATCCAGATCACAAGATTCTAATACGTTAAATTATAATTTGTTGTTTCAGAAAAATTGTGAAAATTTTTAAGCAATGAAAAATTGCCAGCTATATGGTAATTACCAGCTATATGGTAATTAATTTAAACAGTACTTTCAAGTCAAGAAATATCAAGAGGGTTAAATACTGGTTCTTTGATGAACAGAAATATTAAAAGGAGGTTTATAAATGATTACCTGAAGCATCTCCAAATGGCAGCAGCCAGTGGAAAGGTTGGTATATCTCTGGGTTTCTCAAAGGCCCAATAGTACGAGGCAAAAGCTCCAGCTAAGGTCATCTGGCCAACAGCCACCACAAAATTCATCAGCCAGAAAAACATGAAGAGGCTGAATACCTGTCCATATATCACAAAACTGAAACAGAAACTTACCATTATTATTTTATTACAGATTCCACTATACATAGTTATTTGGAAAGTGGATATTCAACCAGTAGGTATAGATTTAGGTTCAGAACTAATAGGACACATCTATCTGACATAGGCACACATGGAAGTATAACTTATTTCTATTCTAATCCAAATTACCTTCTCCTCTTTCGACTTTTTAAAGCAGAGCTGCACATAAACACTTATTCCAGCTGATAAGCGGAAAACTGGGCATAACTCTGTGTTATGAAAAAATTGGCTGGAAACTGAAGTCAAACTTGGGATAATAAAACATGGATTATATTGTTGTTTGAAGAAAACACAAACGATAATTTCAAAAATAATAAAATCTTGCCAGTCACATGGACAGGGTGAATACTAACTAGGCACAACATTCTCCTTTCAAGCCTGTTAATAAGTTGATGTACATCTACAGAATCATTTTCTTTGTTTTCTACTCATTCAATTAATCTGTACATTTGCTTTCCACTGAACGAATTTTAAAATCACATACTTTTTGTATAGTGACTAAAATATTAAACATCACTGCTTTCATAAAACTGACTGCTACTTACTTTTCTTCTGCATTCTTCAAAAATGTGCAGAAATCACTCGTAGTGTTGGTCTGTAAACAAAGGTTCACATGTTAATCTAAATGATTCCATTGAAAAAAGGAGCAGTAGACTTAGCAGGCAATTTTAACATGTCAAAGTTCATAAGTACATGTCTATATGTCTATATTTTCAATCTAGCACATGCCACCTCTACACCCTAGAATGCAAAGAAATGGACTTTCCTTCATAGTATGGCAGACAATACTCACCATATTCAAAAATAATTATTTTAATGCTGAAATGCCTCAGAAATTGTTTGAATCTTTTGATTCTCCTAATCTGATACCTAATGTTAGCTTGAGTGCTGTTCAAAATAATTCAGCTGTGCTAAATTAATAAATGATACTAACCATCTCTATCTTCTATAAACATGTAACTAAAACATCCATGCTATCTCCAGCTACCATAAACATGTAACTAAAACATCCATGCCATCTCTAGCTACTATAAACATGTAACTAAAACATCCATACTATCTCTATCTACTATAAACTACCATAAACATGTAACTAAAACACCCATACTATCTCTAGCTACCATAAACATGTAACTAAAACACCCATACTATCTCTATCTACCATAAACATGTAACTAAAACATCCATACTATCTCTATCTACCATAAACATGTAACTAAAACATCCATACTATCCCTAGCTACCATAAACATGTAACTAAAACATCCATACCATCTCTAGCTACTATAAACATGTAACTAAAACATCCATACTATCTCTATCTTCTATAAACATGTAACTAAAACATCCATACTATCTCTATCTACCATAAACATGTAACTAAAACATCCATACTATCTCTATCTACCATAAACATGTAACTAAAACATCCATACTATCCCTAGCTACCATAAACATGTAACTAAAACATCCATACTATAGCTACCATAAACATGTAACTAAAACATCCATACTATCCCTAGCTACCATAAACATGTAACTAAAACACCCATACTATCTCTAGCTACCATAAACATGTAACTAAAACATCCATACTATCTCTATCTACCATAAACATGTAACTAAAACATCCATACTATCCCTAGCTACCATAAACATGGAACCAAAATATCCACACTTTCTCTAGCTACCAAACAGATTTAAACAAATTTCGCTAGTGTAAATACAAATGTAGTTAAGTCACATTATTGACAACATTAGTCATCCACTCCTATCTAAATAACACTTCATGTTTAGGCCTTAAAGTTCTTTATTACGTTCTATTGAAAAATGTAATTTTAAATCAGAATGACAGAGAATTTGAAACAAATATATCATATTTATCCCTCAACAAGCCCATGTTCAGTGACAATCCCATATATCCTTATTTACAGTGTATTGCAGTTGAGTAAAATTACAAACTAATGGAAAAATTGATTAGCCTGTGATAAGCTTTCCCTTAACTTTTGGTAATCTATAGGCTTTACAAATGATTAAAGTCATGATTGATATCACATGAAAGTTCATACATTATTTGGTATATTTCATCAGCAGTTTCTTCAACAAATACTCACATTTTCATTACAAGTCTCTCCAAATAGTGAGGATGTGTCTGCTACAATTTTGAGATAGTTCCAATCATTAGCTGTTTGATTCCAGTAGTCTGTGTTGTTTTCATTCACAGAGAAGTCCTGCTTTCTCCCTGTAGATGCCAAGAATCTATGCAATTTGTCAAGATCTTTTTTTTATTTTATTTATAAAGAAGACATGCACCTTATTCCTATTTCATGAAAAATGGTTGTCTTTTCTCCATTAGGAAGCAAACTGTGAATAAGGCAATCATTGGTAATTAATTTTGACCCATCAAGAACAGGCACACTGAGGAGTGCATAGAGTGGAGTGACAGTAGTATTATGCTTGAACTTTCCCAAAAATTGGATAAATTGAAGATTTCTAAAAAGATATGTATAAGGTAATTATTTGATAAAACTAGCAGCATAACTTCCAAAAATTTAGCTTGACAGAGAAGGAAAGTTCAGAACTTTCATCTACAGAAAGACTCAAATGGTCAGACAGACAGATGGCAGAAAAAGACCACATGATTCTAGTATATGTGTTATATATATCTCCCTAATTTTGTTGTCAAGTAATATCAAATTTGGCAATATTTTAGCTACTGTTGCCATCACTGTTATTATTTAACAGTACATAGTAATAAAGGATACGTGGCCACAGATAGCCAGTATGCCACCACGCCCAGTTGTAGAGCAAACGGAAATATTGGGAATATTAAGGTAAACATCATTTTCCCAATGGCTCTGGAAAAAAAGAAAATTACATTTTAAAAGCAAATAACACTTGATATAAATGTCTTAATGACTCTTGTATCTTATAAAAAAAAAAGAAAGAATATTTATGTTCTATTATGCATGCCATAAGTTATTTCAAAAATGTTACAAATCCATGAAAATTTCTATATATTTTCAATGCTAGAGAGGAGAAACCATGTCAAAATACTCATGAACCCATCTTCATAATCAAGAATTACCACTTAATTTGCCTACACACTAAAGATTTGTTTTGAAGCTTCATTGTGGTAGTTACAAGTTTCATCTTGTAAAAAGTTTAATAATTTCCATGTAGACAAAAAAAATCTGACCTGCTGCCTTCTTTAATGAGTGACACAGCAATTCTGATCCTCTGACACAGAAACAACAGGATAATCAAAAAGATCAGCAAAATCACTGCCGAGATGATGCCTAGAAATAGGAATTATAAAAATTCAAAAAACCATTCCATTACAACAAAAACTTGTATATATAGCTGAGCAATATATAGCTCGTATATCTACAAATAGAGGGCTTATTCTATGATGTATATTTAGACTTGTTCACCAACCATCATTTAAATTATTAGTAGCATTGAAATTTTCAATATCAATAAAAACATTTAGAGAGGGATGTGTGCACACTAGATTTATTTATGAACTAATTCACTTCAATTCCATGCCTGCCAATTTCTGTTCTTGAGAAACATAAGGTATAACAACACAAAATCTTCTTACCAAATGCTAGAAACATATCAGGTTTGGACCAATGAAGGACAATGGATACAATATGGATGCTGAATTCCTCATCCCCATCCAAATTAACGTAGGTCCAGAAACACCAGTAGGTCGCTGTAACATAAGAACTCTGAAGGTCATGAAATCATTTTAACTTGTCATTATAGAGGAATATATACATGAAGATGCATATTTCTATGATACAAAAAGCTTCTCTGTTATACTCACAAAAAGCAAACAGTCCTAGGAAGGCAAATATTGTGATCCATACCATGATACCAGCTATAAACCTCATAATAGTGATCCATGTAAGGGAGACAATCATGCTCAGGATCAGGATTCTATAACACACCAAGGAAAGGTTAAAGTTCACATACAACAATAAAACTACTAAACCTATATACATATTGTAGTTTGATTATCATAGGTACATGTCGACCTTGCAAAATAGTCAAAATTGTACCATAGCATATATACATATCTAACTTTTGATGTCCTTTTGGATTCCTATCACAGTGTAACTGGCTTAAAATCATATGGTTCCTTTACATATCAATTGTCATCTACCTAGGTTACAATATTTGTATACTGTAATCTATTATTTTGCTATTTATTATTTGTCTATATTTATAATTTACCACAAATAATAAATGGGAATTTATAGCTATAGCTTACACAAGCATCATCCACCAGGTTGCCACTATGTCTGCAACAATCTTCTCTGCATACTCCTTGGCTTTCAGAAATATTCCAAATATGCTGAATGAAATAGATATAATTCATCATACAATTTCCAAACTAAATGCTTGAAGGAATGAAATACTGTTATCTACACAATAACATAGGCATACCTATCAAATTTTCAAAATCTGACAATAGGAAAAATTGTAGTGTAGCAATATTGCTGATTTATCAATGGTATTTTCCAATAGGTTAAAAGAACATCTGTTTTGGACACATTAGGTTCAACAATTTCTTAGATTCCACGTAAATACAACATACTGAAGTGAAAATGAGAGAGATTCATGCCATTAATAAGAGGTTTGATAGGAAAGGTTTGTGAGTTCATCAAATACATTGTTCATCAATAATCACTTCTGAAATTTATTTTAGATTCAGATGGAATTGCTCTGCTGTCAGAAACTTTTTCTTATCATTCTGGAGTTACCTGCCTTTAGTAAACACAAGTCACGGTCAGTTAAAGTGACATTAACTTACTCCAGATTTTGGGCCAGAGACTCAATTGAGATGTCGTTGCTGTTGGAGTCTGTGATGTTTTTATTTCCAACATCAGCCTGTATATTGGTGAGAAGGCTGCCTCCATCTTCAAGGAAATTAACCAAAACTTCGGGAACACATCTGTTAATAACTGCAACAGGAAAAAAAGGTGTTAAATCCTTTTATTGTCATACTTATTAATGTCACTTTTCAGGTATCATCATGTTTTCTGGGCACACAGTTGTGTTACTACATTATCTAATAGATACACAATCAGAAAAATGCATTCTTCAAAAAATGCTAAATGTATTAAGCTTATTTTTTGTTGATATCAATTAAACTGTCATTTACATGAAATATGCAGGGAAATTACTTTAATTTCAGTAACGTTAAAGTGGTGACCATAACTTAAACATTTTCTTTGACCTCAAAATTACTGGAAATGGTACAGGTATATAGAGCAATACTTATTTTATATCATCCTCACAAAATTTGTGTGAAACGGGGAAGATTGGAGTTAATATTAGTTCTACCTTGTAACACTTGAATAAGAATGCACCAGAAGTTCTTTGAAATAGTTAAAATACAAGACTATTGCAGAACAACAATTACAGCACAGTGTAAGACTTTGCTTTAATTAAGATACACTACATTTCGTGGGTGGTGCTATATCATCCATATTTAAATGGTAGCCTTTATCATATTACCAAGGTGTTAATGACTTTCACCTTTCAGCTTGACTTGGTGATCTTGTTTTATCTGGTCACATACCAATTGAGTTAATTGGAAAAGAAGTTACAATGGAGAAATAAAACATGTCAACTTTCTTAACTAAGTACAATAAAGGTATATCAGGAAATTGGACCCCGCTGGATTTCTTTCACAACTAAACGAAACACCTTAAAAGGTCATGAGATTTATTGATGAACCTTGGGTTTAGCAAAGATTTTTTTAGATTTTCATTATTTTCCCCTGTTAAGACCCTTCTTATGCACCTTAAACATGGGAATATGTCATTATGATAAAATTTTGTTACAAATCATACAAGTGTTTACAAGAAGAAGCTTTTGAAACCAACATCCCTTTATCACATTTAAGGTCCCTGGAATCTACAAGCGATATTCATGATGTTGTGCATTAAACAAAACCTCTGACTTTCCCCTAATGGACCCTGTCCTTCCTGCTAAAGTGGTGCCATGGTATCATCTTCATTCATATAAGAAACCATCACTTTTTCTTAACCATGGTCAAAACCAAAGGTGGTTAGAAACTGCATAGGCATTTAGGAGAAGAAGTGTTCACAAAATCCCAAACATTCATGGACATCATTTTTTTTTCTTTTTTCTGAACTCTTATCAGTGAAAGTGCAACAGTATAAAAACCAAAAAGCATACAAAATTTTACAAAACCTGCAATCACTGCTGTTCTGGAGAAGTTCAGTCTTTCATTTCTATAAGGGAACTTAAGAATCACCCAAAGATATCAAGTCTGTTATTTACATTGTATATTTTTGAAGCCTGGCCAGATAATTAATATGATGGTTGTGTTACTGACATAAGTAACTTAACTGTTAAAAACATTCTGATTAACATCATTTTTTAAGCTCTGGAAATGTGATAATTAGGCTACAATTATACATGGTTAAGTATTAAGTTGATGAGTCCATGTACTTAAAATCTGTCTTCTCCATATGACTGACACAACATATAAAGCATTGTGATTAAGTAAACTGTAAAAGCTGAATAAAAATCCATGACACGAGACACAAATTATTGTAAATAAAAAAACTGATACCAATTACCTTGATACATTGAAACGAAGTGATATATTTTAAATTAGCTCAAATAATAAAGGTGGACATACATATTAAACAAAAATCTGATACACATCTATATATCTATGTCTCAGTACTTACAAAACTTGTCTTTGAGGAAAAGACAAAACAAAGTGATAAGAAAATGTCAAAGATTAAGAACCTCCACATAGGGCACCTCATGATCACAGTATGTATCCTGTAATAAGCCCATGGCCAGGGGCCAACACACGACACATTATCAATGACTAGAGATCAGGGGTGGGCTTATTACAGGATAGTGAAATAGCATTGTTGATAGATCTACTAAAAAACATTTATACGAGAAGGTTTATTATACAGTAATATTCAGATAAAAAGATAACTGTTGTGTTATAGATGTAGTCTACATAAACAAAAAATACCAGAAAACTGAATATAAATATAATGCAGCATCTCAATATGTTATATCTTAGAAATTAATGTGTGGCAACACATGAAATGAGAAGAAAAACACTATATTTCATATCGTAAAAAAAACAAATCAAGGGTTTGAAACACTAAATATCTGTTAAAAAAGTACAAATAGAGAATCTGTTAAAATAGTATGAATAAACCAAAAAAATATTAATAACCAGACAAAGCCTGAATTCAATTATACTACTAGATTTGAACACATTAAGACATATATGAAAACTATCAAGAATTATAAACACAAGTTCGAAAATTAAATATGAAGTAATCATGTACACTTGATTCTCTCCTTGAATATCTCTAATTAGAGAGACTTAACTGAGAATTATATACATTGTATATATAAATATGTAGAAACAGTATAGAAACTCTGTTGTTTTAGACATCGAAACACATTCTAAAAGATAAGATAACCAAACTTACGAGGAGAACTTTTCAGGAAGTAAGCAGGACATTGGTCACGTTCCACCAGAGCAGTCCTTGACAACTGAAACAAAGAAAATCAGTGTTGTCTAATATTCTGAAATTGATATCTGTTTATTTGTATATCATTGTAGATCTTAGTAACAGAATGTACCTAGATTGCTCAAAAACATTGCTGTTTGCAAAAAAAATGTTCACAAACATTCTGATGTTGTTATCTAACAATCTGTAGTCTCAAGACTTTTAGAAGATAATCTAGAATAAAGAAGTTCAGGAGATTTATCATCAGCAGTCAGAACAAATGATTTTGACCTTGACCTACTGTATAACATTGTATATCACATGAAGTGCTTGTGGATTCTTTCTTTTGTGGTTTTAGCCAAGGCATCCTTTCAAGGGTAACAACTTCTGTAGATATTACATAAATATACTAAAGTTCTTCTGTTGAATTTTACTTTCATTGTTTTTCTAGAGCCACAAAAACTACACTATAAACATTTCTAGTTATACTATAGCTCATATTGGAAATGTCTAATGACTTTGAGCAGAAATGACAGGTCCATGGATATTTCCCTCAGTTTTTGTGTCAAGTAAAGATAATGTTAGAAAATATGACAACTAAATAAACTGTCAGCTTAAAAAGTAAAAAAATATGAACGACGTTAAAAAACAAGAGGCCTAACGGCCTTGACGGTCACCTTAGATAAGCTATATTGAATATAAAGGTTATAGGATAGTTATCAAGTGTCATGAAACAGAAATTGTGACACTGAATATAGATATTGGCAATACACGTATACCATTAAAAAAATATCATCCTATACTAATAATTCTTACAAAGTTATTTCCAGTGTGAATAAACCATGCTATGCTCAAAAATACAATTTTCCTATGAAACTTACAGTAAATTCTAAAAATATATTCCTCCCCAGGAAGAAATGTAACTTATTTTGGTAATTAAAGTACCTTAAGATGCTTTCATTCATGAAGAGCTTTTGATTCTACCACATCTTGGTGTTCAGAAGAAGATTTTTGAAATGTAAGTCAATTTGACCCCTTTTGACACCGCCCATCAGCCCCTAGGGGTCAGTCAGGATCAAAATGGGCATACCATCAAGCCATCATCCTTCACTTATAATTCTAACCAAGTATGAAATATTTCCAATGGAAATTAAACAAATTATGCTAAAAAATCTAGTTTTCATATATAATCTATAGTAAACATTACCCCCTCCCCACTGGGAAATGTGACACCCTGGGGCCATGAAATTCACAATTTTGGTAGAGTATCTTAAGATTCTTCCATTCATGGAGAGTATTTGATTCTACCATATCTCGGTGTTGAGAAGATTTTTGAAATCTGAGTCAATTTGATCTCTTTTGACTGTATAATTCACAATTTTGGTTCATCTTAGACTAGGGAAGGTTTCTGCAAAACGTAATTTAAATTGGATTAGGAGTTTTTCAGAAGAAGTCGAAAGTGTTAAATTGTTAACAGATGCATGATGCCAGATGAAGGGTAGTAGAATAGGTCACCATGAGACTTTGCCTCAGGTGACCTAATCTCAGGTGACCTGATAAAAGAATGGGCCCAAATAAAGATGAGTTCTTGTTAAAAGTATCTGTATTCAATACTCAAAATAAATACAAAATATGAAATTAAAATCACTGTATAACAATTTGATATCCATAACAAGTTTTTATCTGAAAGAAAATGTATACTCACTGTTGTGTCATATCCTGACTTACAGAACTGCAGGTCAGCACTTGTGGCTGCATCAGTAATATAAGCATAGTTTGTATCAGGACAAGATGCGACACACACCTACCAAAAGTAGAGAACAATTGTTGACTCCATGTATATCACACATTTCCTGAATGTGCTTTTGATATCATTTATAAATAGGTTTATATTTAAAGACTGCCTGTACATACTTTTTTAACCTATGTATTATATCCTGTCTCAGATGAAGACTTTTCTTTCCAACATTTCTAAGATTTATGAAGTCTTTTCTCCCAATCAACATTTGAAATTTAAGCAACCTGACATAAAGTTGTCACTCTGAACCATACCCGTATACTTCCCTGTGGAGAAGGACATCCTGACACAAGGTTTTTCCTCCCTCCTGTACTCCCATACTCACCTGTGGAGGAAACCCTCACACTAAGTTTTCCATCCAACCTAGCCTCTTATACTTCTTATATGTGGAGGACACCCTGACACAAAGATCTCCCTCACATCCAGTTTCTTATATTCACCTGTGGAGTAGGACACCCTGACACAAAGATCTCCCTCACATCCAGTTTCTTATATTCACCTGTGGAGTAGGACACCCTGACACAAAGATCTCCCTCCCATCCAGTTTCTTATACTCACCTGTGGAGTAGGACACCCTGACACAAAGATGTCCTTCCAATCCAGCTTATTAAACTCACCTGTGGAGTAGGACACCCTGACACAAAGATCTCCCTCCTATCCAGTTTCTTATACTCATCTGCGGAGTAGGACACACTGATACAATAATGCCCCTTCCACCCAGCCTCTTAAAAACTCAACTGTGGAGTAGGATAACCTCACACAAAGATGCTCCTCCTGCCTAGTCTCACATGCTCATCTGTGGAGTAGGACATCCTTACACAAAGATACCCTGCCTCCTATACTCACTTGTGGTGTAGGACATCCTGACACAAAGATACCAACTCCCATCCTTCCACACTGAACAAGGTCAAAGAAAAATAGATAGTCCTTTCCCCTGGAAAAGGAGATTGATTATACAGACTAAAGTTAGGTTGTCCTGGAAAACAAATATTTCAATAACATGCAAAATTTCCTTCATTTTAATTTCACAAGAAAGCTAAATACTCAATTCTTAAAGTGACTTTTCTTCAAACTTTATGAAAAATAGTTGTACAATACAGACAACCCATGGTTCCGGATGTAAGAATTCTCCCTTTCCATCCCATCCTCCCCTTATTACCCTTAACAGGTACTGGTATCTCTGATTTCATATATACCTAGTACAAAAGCTTTTTACTTTAATAGGGGTCAAGTGTAATATTTGACCCTTCAAACTTGACTGATGACCACCAAAATCTGTTAGGTGCTGAACTTCATGTTTGTACTAAACATGCGACATCTTAAAACAGTTGAATGATTTCATAACTTCAAATTGACATTCTTGTGCCATTCGGGAGGAAAGACGATAATCCGAAGTAACATGCACACTTTAGATGATCTTACTTGTTATTGCCATATCCACACAGTTCTCCATTGGAATCCACTGGGTACAGCAGTAAATAGGGATCCCCATTAGCAAACGCTGAGGAATATCATACAATGTATACACATGTAATTTAACTGGAAGTTATTTAAGTTCTAAATACCAAAAAAGAGTACCACAGATTGGAACAATATATGCTTGTTCCAAGATAAACTTGTTAAAAATAACATCATAGGGCAGAAACTTTTGCCAAAATTTCAAAATCACAATGCCAATAAGGCAACCATAGTTTCATGAAGTGGTTATAATGCCTACCAAATTTCAGATAGTATAGTGAAAAACTGAGGAAGGAGATCACTATACAAAATTAAAAAGCTTAAAAAGACGGTAAAAAACTGTTGATTCAATCTGCTATGTACAGAAACACTTCTTCATGTCAAAGTGATTTAAGTTGGGAACAATTTGATAGAAAACTTGGAAGGAGATCTCTGGACAATTTCAACAGGCTGAAAACAATAATTGGCAGTAGTTCTTCCAAATATAGTCAAATCAAATAACTGTTCTGGCAAACACAATTTCATGTCATGGTGATAAAGCCTATAATTTTTTAAGGAAATCAATGGAAGTGAGAGAGGAGATCTCTAGACAAGATTAATACATGCAGTATGAAAACTAACAAGGGCAGTAACTCTCCATAATACAAATGAATCAAACTGCTCTTTTGGGAAAAATTGACCTCATATCATAGTAATTACTACCACATTTGAGGGAAACTGGTTGAAAACTATGGGAGATCTCCAGACATCTAAAAGTTTACTACAAAACACACAATGTACACCATAATGTGTCCTGTTATTGTACGGGCGCATAAAAATATTTACTCTTACAAATGTCCTTTTGAGAATGAATCAATATGAAAATAGTGCTAGTACCTCTCAGATTTTTGACACACATTAAAGTCAACTTTACAGAGTTCAAATATGTTGATAATAAGCCACATCACATTGCAAACACAAGCTTTATTGACCAAACTGCTGTAATTCAAGGTTTCTGAGTACATCATGAAGACATCATCACAACAGAATTATCAACACAGTAATCCTTTTATGACCAAACTTATTTATGCGAAACGATATATCTATATTTACTTATGATGACTCATTACCTAAGTAAGACACTCCAGCAAAGCCACCGATGAATATGATGAAAATCAGACAGCATATGATATCAGTGCAGGATCTGGAATACACAAATTGATAATACACTTCTTACATTATCACCAAGGTTAAGGATGATATTGAAGCCAGACACTGAAGTTATTATGGTGTTTGAAGACCTGGTTAACATGATGAAGCTGATTTTCAGATTAAGCATATGAAATCTTTTCCTTACACATCAGGCTTCCTGGTTTGTGAATTATGAGAATATTAGAATTAACACACTTATTGATGTAGAATTTCATTATTCAAATAACATCATTTGCGCACTAAAAGCTCTTCCATACAGTCACTTGGTATGTAAACTACATTTACCTTTTTTTGATAGGTCCATTGAAAGTTGGATCATATGTCAAAGGTGTACCTGAAAAAGACAGAAATCATCTAAAATGTCAGGTATAATTAATACTACCTGAAAACAGGTAACAAATAATATTTTAAATATGTCAATGACGAATGTCAATAAATTAATCATAGGGTCATTCTAAAATACCTTTCAATTGGATGACTATATGCTGATTATTGTCTAAATGGTTACAAAAGGTATCACAAAATATGAAGCAATCACCTGTCAATAGTAACATATGATTTTATAGATAGACAATTACATGTTATCTATCAATCAATCAACAAAATGCTTTCTGTGACAAAGATATAATTTCCTTACATGCTAATTCTGATTAAATCATGACAAGTGACCACAATCTGGAAATCAATAGGTCAGAACTTTAAAGAAGGTCAAGGTCATTCATTAAAATTAGATTTGTTAGCTCTTCACCCACAAGCATGTATATCATGATCCTGGACCTTCCAGTCTTGTGGAAGATGCTGTTGAAAAATATGTACAATTTTGTCTCCATCCCCCATGTTGTGAAATGGGGCCAAGGTCATTCATTTTTTAAAAAAAACTTGTATGCTATTCATACCTGCAAGGTGCTGACTGAATACCTTCACTCTTGGATATGGCTTATTTGCGGTGAAATACAGTAATATTGAGAACTGAGAAAGCAAATGTTAGCAAACAGGCAGACACTGATACTACAGCACAAGATTACTTGACCTTAGTGTAGGATAGTTCAAAATATCAGATAAATTAATGTGTACATATTTCTTATTCTTCATGAATACATTAACACATCAGGTTTTATATCTGGAATGCAGCAGTTCTACTACACAATGATGTACAGTATAAAGTGTTAACTCTTTGCACTAGGCTGTGATACACTTAAGGGAGAGTGTCCCACTGATGTTCTAATGTATTCAAGAACTCAAAATACATTATAATTAATGTTTCTGCATCTGCGATGAGAGGTCAAAGTTCAGAAGTGATTGTTATACTGGTAACCTTATTCTGGTATGTCAAATCTCCATTTCATTTTCTCAGCATTCCCACAAATTTTTACCATAGCAGAATCAGTGGAAATAGGGAAGGAGTATGAAATGTCTAATTCAAGATAGCGCAGCAATGGCAACCATTTTGGATTTTTCACTGACCCGAAAAAATAACAATAATTGGTAAGTACCACCTCCGGATCTTTTTTGGCAAGTTTTGACTAAATCCCACAAGTGGAACTTGAGAAGTTTAAAATGAATGTTGTTCAGGGAAACCATTATTGTGCAATCATGTTACAAAATGGCCATCATCGCTTCGAAACTTTTAATACGTCTGAACAATGAACAATATCAATTCCTTAATATCCCTTCCAATTTTCAGCCTGATGGCAGTCGTAGAAGTTGAGAGGAAGATAAAAATGTGTTTTTCAAAATTGCCATACGAGATTTTGAACTGACCCGAAAAATAACAATACTCTGTCAGGACTGTCTATGGATCATTTCAAGCAAGTTACAGCCCAATCCCATTGATGGAAATGGGTTTAAAGTTTAAAGTGTAAAATGTTGACACAGAGTGGATAGCAGACAATAACTGACAAAACAAGGGGTCTTTGCATTGTCCTGATTGTTTGGGCCAGATTAACTAATCATGATACATGTAGACAAATTATTGTAACTTTTCTCATCTCTTTATTTGGAGGCAATGGATTACAAAGGTTATTTAATAAAATTTGCTTTTTTATGTGTATGTAAAATATAATCCACTAGGAAACATCAAAAACAAGGAAATACTCTCTATAACAAATGATATGATCTTCAAACTGAAAAAATTATATTTTTTTGAAAAGATCCAAATAATACTCTCATTTATGAATTGATCCAATGATAGCACAAGATTAAGTTAATTTCCTTTTTTATAGATATCCAATAAACTTATACACATACAACACTTGATCTGAAAGTGAATCATGACGAATGAAAAGTTTCAATATCAAATATTCTGTCTCCCAGTAAACCTACCATGTTCTCCATCAGTCTCAAATACACCATCACTTTCATCTTTACTTTCTTTCTCCTCCATTTGAAATCGACTTTTTGTTTTAATAACCTCTGAAGGGTCCTTCTTATGATCTCCCAGTAGTTTTTCTTCAGTCGCCTTTTCCTGCTCAAACTTCCGTTTGTTTGAGCGAGGCATGTTGACTTTTTAGATGTATACACAGTAGGTATAAATATAAGGGGTAAATGAGGTTGTCTCTTGATTAACTAATGCACATTTCAAAAATATACACACCAAGTTTTTCTTTCAAACTGTATTGGTGTGTATTAAGTATAAGTTTGTCACAATGAGAAGATACATTTTAAATCCTGCTGTAACTGAAGGTATTCTGCCACAATGTTCCCTTTACAACTGTTTTTAAACTTCACAACTCCTTAATCAAATCCAAATATTCTATCCAGAAAACCAAGAAATAGGACTGTAAAATTTCCTATGTGAAAACCAGTAAGCAAAATAAGGTTGATCAATTAAACATGTCAACACTTTACACTTCAGTGCTTAAAATACACATTACATCAGCAGTAGATATTCTGCCCTAGTACATCTGTCTGCTGTCTACAGATTTCCTTCACAATATAATTATGTATAAATATGTTAAGTAGGGATATCTCTATTACATTATATTTTCAAATGGCATCATTTATGTAAATGACTTCAATTTGGAGAAAACCCAACAGATACAATTTCTAAATGCTAAATCAATCTTTTGTATATATGTATCTATGGTGAAATTTGTAATATTCTCTGTCACATCTCATATTTGTAGTATTATATACACCACAGCTTTCATGAATGAGGTTAGTTATCTCTGTAAACACAACATATACCAATACTATAGAGAACTGTATGATCAACCTACAAAGTGCACTGTATTGATAGAATTATGACAGATATGTATATACATAAACCATTTTATTCACTACATATATTACATATATTTATGTTAAAATACCTGCCTCACTTCACTTAACCCTATGATATAAACACTTGTAATAATTATTTATGTTGCTATGTTTTTCTTAAGAGTTCCTGATATATGACTACCTTTGAAGGACTTTCTTATGACCTCTAAGAAGCTGTGTCAATCAACCATACCACATATCCTTCTTAAAAATCAGCTTGTAGTTAAGGTACTGATTATCTAATACAACTTAAATAACTTATCCTCCATATGATATTAAATAAAATACGCCTTTAGACTTTCACTAGGTGGATCCTTATTCATACATGATTCTCGGATAAAAGCTGCATTACAATTTTCCTAAGGTATACAAAATGACCAGTCACCTTGCAAAACATTCCTTCATTATCATTTAGTGTAAACGAAATCCTTGATAGCAAGAAAATGAAATCCAAGTGAGTAAGGAATTGTGGCGATAGTCTGACAACTGCTCACGTCCAGTCCACTCAGGTAACAGGGTGACTAACAAAATTTAAGGTGAAGCTTTGGCATCAGTTAAAGTCCAAGTATCCCATTGTTCATGGAAACTGCCATTCAAGTGAAGATCAAAAAGGTATCACATATAGTGAGCAGACAGGTGAGTAATTCCTACAGGTATGAAGTCAGATTACCTGGCCTCTATCATAACAGTCTTCACAGTTATTTGATTGTTAGATTGATTTATAAAATTTATAAGTCAATACTTTAATTATTGTACATTTTATTGTCACAATCCTATCACGAAAATTATCAAATCAAAACTTTTACCTTACAAATAGAAAAATTTTGCACACTTAAGAAGTTCAGGAAATAAACTTTGGTATCTATATCAAATTAAGCATTTTGATTAAGATAACAAGGCTATGAGGAGGTGACAATGTTGATGTATGTGTGTACACACATAAACACTTCATGCTCAGTTTATTATAGGCCTGACTTGCATTGTAACATCACTTACATGGTATTAATATCTGTTACAAGCCCACATCCTTAAAATGGACAGTTATTAAAATCACATTAAACATTTTACTTTGCCTCTCCTGATTTCATATCATTTAACCTATCATAAAATTAATCTTAATGTGTTTCCTACGTAGGCGATGCTTTTTTTACAAAGTAACATTCTCCAGTTTTTGTTGTCCCTAATCAAAATACGACAAATCACTTACCAAATTAGTGACATCACTTAATCAAGCAAGAATGATAATTCAATATAGTGATTTTACTAAATATTGATTACTCAAAGTCTTTTCATTTTTTGAAATTATAGTGACATTACACTGATTTCAAGTACTGATAATCATCACAGAGGTTTAGAATAGCAGTGAATTACAACTGGCATGTAAAAATGCTTTTATCAGTCAGGACTCCAGTTCATTAGAAATTAACTTTACACCTAACCTTTTTTTTCTTAAACAATGAGCATATCATATTTTTATCAAAAAAGTATTCGGGTACTTTTATGAAAGGGGATACAAGTATGATATGACACGCTGTGGTTAAAAATAAGTTTTATCATTGTTGTAAAAATATCTACCAATCGATAGCTGTGTGACAAGTGGCGATAAATTCCCAAGGCTCAATAAACTGAAAGATATGTATCGATTTAATACCAACCAGGAAGTCTGTGCCTTTACTTTGTTTACAGCAGCCATGACAACATCAAACTTAATGAACCATCACTCATTACTTTTCCTGTTTAAGTTTGATGAAAAGTGGTAGCAGGTCCTGTTATGTCTTAATTTTTCAGTCTTGCAGGAAAAGCATGAATCCATGGACAGATGAACAAATGGACAAGGAGGGACAGAGTTTGATTACTCCAATTTCCTGGAGGGAAGCAATGATGGAGTTCTAGAATATAATAGGATTTTATGATAAAATTTTGTGTACTTTCTCTTCTTTTTTTATACACAGTTATTGCATTACAAATAAAAGAAAGAAGAAAAGCACGAACTTAGGCCATACAACCAGGTGTTTGAATTGGATAATGAAGCAATAAAGACTAAATATTGTCAATATAAGTAATACAGAAATTTAGCCTAAATGATAATTGTAACATGTTTGTGTTCATATATCCATGACCATCGAACACATTAAATCATATGGCTCTTTATTACTACTCAGTCAGAATATTGTTATCTTGTCTAATGATGAAGTTTTATGATAATTTTTCTGGTTTGCTCACATAATGGTGAAAATCAAGTCTTATTTAAAATCTGTGGATGTTGAATGTAAATGACAAATAGTGATCACAGATACAATGATTAGATAAATGATAATAGTACCCTCTACAACAATGAGACAGCATATCTTATACAAAGTGTATACAACAGCTGTCTCCATTACCTTATTACCCTTCAACACATACACACAATGTGCATTAACCATAATCTGAAATCAATTAGCTTAGAAGATTTTTGTTCAGATTTATCTCCCTTGGACTAACAATTGAAGAATAACATCACCGTGAATGTTGGAGCTGACAACTTAGGGATGTATAGTGTTCTCAGCCAACTGAAAATGGTTCTATGAACAGACAGGAGACAAAGAAATTGATTTCTGTAGTAAAAACCTTTTCAATTCCATGTTATAGAAAATCAGGCAACTTAATGAAATGAACATAATGTGGAGAAACTCATGATGACATGTCAGTAATTTTGATTATCCTTAATTGATGTATATGTACATATACTTCATACATACATACATACATACATACATACATGCATATACCTCATTAACCGGATTTTTCTCCTTCTCCAAGACCAACTGTACAATGTTACTCTATGTGTTGTTTCTTTTTTAATAGTTTAACATCATTATCAGACGAAAGTCTATTGAACCAATTCTTTATAGATTCTAAGGTCGTTGCACTCACCACCTTGATTGGTAGTGAGTTCTAGACGTTAACAACTCTTTGTGTAAATGATGGTTTCTATGCAGCCAATCTGCTTCATTATTTCAGTATACACAGTTTGCGACATTTTGTTATTTTATTGGTATTCATCTTGGTATAATCTAAATATTGAAAAAAATAAAAGAGAAATAAAATTCCAATATTCATCCTATGCAAATGTGCAGTGGATTCAAAACTATTCCTTTTCAAGATGTTCAATATATATACCCCATCCTGTTTAATATGGCCTTTCTAAATAATTTATTACTCCTGTAGGAAATAGCAACGGCTGAAACAAAGGTACTGTATATGCTATATCTACAGGTAAACAAGATAACAGGTAGATCAATATACCTTGGCACACATCAGGGTACCATCACCCTAGCAACTGTCATTTCCTGAATACTGCAAGGAAAATCAATTACAGTATATTAACATGTACATCAATGTGAGAAATTAAACAATTTTCTTTCCAGTTGTGCAAAATATACCTATCCAACAGCTTTCACCTCACCTGTAAAATGTGATCAAATTGATGACAGAAAAAAGCAAGCTGTTTACTCCAGGGCACCCATATCTCAATGCAGAGCCCTAAATACTACACTAGTATCCATTACATACACCATAAATTAAAGAGACTGTTACAATCAGCCAACAGTCAAATTATCGTCAGCCATTTTGTACAATTGAACAGTTGTATCATTTATTACGTGTATATCCTACAATAATCCCTGGGGGAGGGACAACTTTATCATAAGACTTGGTTGGTTGACAGGTTTTCCGCCGATGTCTGGGTATCGTCTCACCAACGAACATCAGTGTTTTGGTGACTTGTTCATAACACAATACTATAGCACCTATTGACGTGGCTTATAAAAAGCCACAGGCTTATTGCTTGATGTATATGTTTTTGTTTATCTTACTTAAATGGCCACTCTTTAATCAATGCTAACCATATTTAAGTTCAATTTCATTTTTTATCTGCAGTATTGATACTATCAATGTACAAATGTACAACCTTATTAAACTAAATCTGCTACCTTTATATATGTAAATTGTAGTTCAAAATAAAAAAACAAGCACATGTTTTACCCATCCTGTACCCCTGATTTTGACATTTAAATTCATATTTCATTTGATATACCTGCACCAGGATGTAAAGTATGCATGTAACATACATAAACACATATTATATAATCATAACAGACAGCTTCAAACATGTCTCAACACAAGCTATAGAATCTAAATATAAAAAAAAATTAAAATAAAATAAAATTCCAATATTCAATGCCATGCCAGGAG